ACATGCACAAAGCACACAAATCATGCCCGCGTCAGATACACGCCCACACACGACGCACCGAGAGGTATGCAGCGGGTACCCAGCGCCGCGTGAACCACTGTTCACCTCTACACAAGTACACAGGTGTGTGTGTGTGTCACAGGTGTGTGTGTCACACAGGTGTGTGTGTGGTACAGGTACACAGGTGTGTGTGTGAGACACAGGTGTGTGTGTGTGTGTGTGATAGAGGGACACAGGTGTGTGTGTGTGAGACACAGGTGTGAGTGTGTGTGGTACAGGTACACAGGTGTGTGTGTGTGTCACAGGTATGTGTGTCACACAGGAGTGTGTGTGTGATATAGGGATACAGGTGTGTGTGTGTGTGTCAGACACAGGTGTGTGTGTGTCACAGGTACACAGGTGTGTGTGTGTCACAGGTACACAGGTGTGAGTGTGTGTGTGATACAGGGACAATGCGGGACATTGGCTGTGCGCGTTGCCCGTGTTTTGTTTACAGCGTCGCTGAGCAAAGGGGCTCAAGGTCCAACACGTCAAGCGGCCAGCAACAACCAGCACTCTCTCGCCCTGCCGTCCCTGCGTGTTCGAGACCTCGCGTGGAGCCGAGCCCCGCACTGATCCGAGGCGAATGGAGGCGACGCCACGGGGCTCCATCGCGCTCTGGTCGCGCCGGGAGAAAGCCAGGGTGAGAGCCAGGGAGAGAGCTAGGGTGAGAGCCAGGGAGAGAGCCAGGGTGAGAGCCAGGGAGAGAGCCAGAGAGAGAGCCAGGGAGAGAGTCAGGGTGAGAGCCAGGGAGAAAGCCAGGGTGAGAGCCAGGGAGAGAGCCAGGGTGAGAGCCAGGGAGAAAGCCAGGGTGAGAGTCAGGGAGAGAGCCAGGGTGAGAGTCAGGGAGAGAGCCAGGGAGAGAGCCAGGTAGAGAGCCAGGGTGAGAGTCAGGGTGAGAGTCAGGGAGAGAGCCAGGGTGAGGGTCAGGGAGAGAGCCAGAGAGAGAGCCAGGGAGAGAGTCAAGGTGAGAGCCAGGGTGAGGGTCAGGGTGAGAGTCAGGGAGAGAGTCAGGGTGAGAGTCAGGGTGAGAGTCAGGGTGAGAGTCAGGGTGAGAGTCAGGGAGAGAGCCAGGGTGAGAGCCAGGGAGAGTGCATAAAGACACAAAGGCCCGTCCCTTGTAGCCCATGCAGACTGTTGGGGCAAGTGCTGTTAGCGAGCAGCACCTATGAAGGCCGGCACGGCGCACGAGGGGGTGGGAGGTCAGCACCACGCCCGGCCGCCTTTGTCTCCCGAGTGGCGATGTTTACACACCGCACCAGGTACTCATTTGAGTCGACTCATACAAACACACACAAACACCCACACACACAAGGTATATAAACACACACACTGCAAATGTATACACACACAACATAGACTCATAATAAATACAAACTCACACACGTAACATATACACACCCACATAACAGACACACGTGTATACATATACATAAACACATACAAATAAAGACAAATGTCCCCCGTGTAGCCTATACAGGATGTTGGTGATGTTTGCACACCGTACCAGCTACCGTACTCATTTAAGGCTGAGTCGACCTAGGTAAAGTTCAGGACCAGTTTAGAAATTTGTCACTGATGTTGGCCGTGAGTGGGAATCGAACTCGGGTCAGAGAAACAAACGACGAGTCAGACGCAGCCACCGAGACACAACGTCAGAGCACGGAGACACAAACACGGAGACGGAGACACAAACACGGAGACGGAGACACTACAGAGACAGACACAGAGACAGACACAGACACAGGGACATACACAGAGACAGGCACAGGGACAGACACAGAGACAGACACAGGAACATACACAGAGACAGACACAGAGACAGACACGGGGACAGACACAGACACAGAGACAGACACGGGGACACACACACAAAGACACACAGACACTGACACACACAGAGACACACACACAGAGACACATACACTGACACACACAGACACACACACAGAGACACACACAGACACACACACACAGACACACACAGAGACACACACACAGACACAAAGACACACACACAGACACACACACACAGACACAAAGACACACACACAGACACACACACACAGACACACACACAGGCAGGACCACGCCTCGCCTCTCTCACCGCGAGCCACACGGCGCGAGCTTCACGTCTCGCCCCACGTGGAATGCGACTCGCCTCGTCAGCGACTCTCGGGGCGAGCCGTGGGCCCACCGCCACCAACCGTCACGCAGACACACACACAGACACACACACTGACACACAGACACTGACACACACACTGACACACACACTGACACACACACACTGACACACACACACTGACACACACACTGACACACACACACTGACACACACACACTGACACACACAGACACACACACTGACACACACACTGACACACACACTGACACACACACACTGACACACACAGACACACACACTGACACATACACTGACACACACACTGACACACACACAGACACACATACACACTGACACACACACACTGACACACACTGACACACACACACTGACACACACACTGACACACACACTGACACACACAGATACACACAGACACACACACTGACACACACACTGACACACACACTGACACACACTGACACACACACTGACACACACACACTGACACACACACACTGACACACACACTGACACACACACAGACACACACACACAGACACACACACTGACACACACACAGACACACACACAGACACACACACACTGACACACACAGACACACACACTGACACACACACTGACACACGCAGACACACAACCAGAATCTTGACTTCACGAAGCGGACGAGGAATCAGATGAGCTATAAAGCTCTTTATTGCACAGATGTCCAGTAGGGGCGGAGGGTCAGCAGGCGACATCGACAAACAGGCACATGCACGACACACCAGGAACATGCACGATACACGAGGAGCATGCACGATACACGAGGAGCATGCACGACACACCAGGAGCATGCACGACACACCAGGAGCATGCACGACACACGAGGAGCATGCACGACACACGAGGAGCATGCACGACACACGAGGAGCATGCACGACACACGAGGAGCATGCACGACACACCAGGAGCATGCACGACACACGAGGAGCATGCACGACACACCAGGAGCATGCACGACACACCAGGAGCATGCACGACACACCAGGAGCATGCACGACACACCAGGAGCATGCACGACACACGAGGAGCATGCACGGCACACCAGGAGGGATCGGTGGCGCCGCTGTTTGCGTGCGCGATGCTTTGAACCCAGCCGCCCGAGTTCGATTCCGGGCCACGGCTAACGTCAGTGGCGACCGATGTCCCAAACGGTGGTCGGGCCCCTCGCCATCTTCGCCAAGCCGCGTTGCGCTAACCGCTGCGCCACCGCTCCGGGCTTGGATTCGCGTCGCGGGGCGGCCAACGCGACCCAATCTCGACTCGCTTATATATACGTGTATATGTGTGTGTGTGTTATAGATATGTGTGTGTGTGTTATAGATATGTGTGTGTGTGTGCAGTACTATACCAGCAACGCGTACGTCCTTTGGGCGTGACCATCCAGCCCAGCCAGCCAGCAACACTTTTGTTTACGATGCAGTTTTACGGTGGACGATGGCACGGCCAAGCGGCAGCGCGTCACGCCACTTGTAGCAAGAGGTTTTCACGGTTCGAACCCAGCGGCCCCCCTGATCAATACCGCGGAGCGTCTTCACGCCAACAATTCGCGTCGTCTGCCGCACGGCCGACGATAACGATCCTCGGGCGTCATTTGCAAGAGTCGGCCATCGCGTGAGCCACCGGTCGGGATAAAAATTTAAAAAAATTGTCGAAAATGGCACCGCGAATGACGCGTACAGACAGCAGCAACCATCGCCCCCGACTGGCAGACTGATGCCCCCAGGTCACCCTTGTCTCATGAGGCTCTCACCTGCACCTGGATGAGTTCTCAGCTGAAACCTCGCCTCTGGGGGTCACCCTCTGACCTCGCCTCTGGGGGTCACCCTCTGACCTCTGTCTGGGTGCAGGTGGTCCTCATGTCCGTGCTGCTGGTGCCCGCGCGGCTGCTGCTCTTCGCCTGCGTTGCGAGCGCCGCCTGGGCGCTCGCCCTCGTCGCCAGCGTCGGCACGCAGCTGTCCCGGCCCCCCTCGCTCACGTGAGCCTCACGCGGCCCACTCGTCACCCACTCACCCACAGACGTGCCGTTTGTGTGTGTGTGTACGTTGAACTGTTTTCGTACCGTACGTAGCCAACCGTGCTGATCGGAGGTGCGGGGGAAGGACAACAAGCTAAACACTAAAAAAACGGTTCTAAAGAAATGAGTTTGTCAAATCTAGATGATGATGATGATTTAAAAGTGCATAGCTGCAGTGGCTTCCGAATATCGGAAGGAAGAGGCGTTCCAGACGGCCCCAGAAGCGCATCTAACAGCACCGCGCGGTGCGGCGGCCACCGCCTTTGTGATCCCAGCCAAGTCGCCTCCACACTCTGATGGTATCGTTAAGAGGGGCGGCTCTCCAGCCAGCGAGCCTGACTCTGCTGCTGATGAGATCCTGAATGTCGAAGCTGATCCCGAGTCTGCAGTGTGTGTCTCTCGGCGTGAGTCTCTGTATCTGTGTGTCTGTGTGTCCCCGTCTCTGTGTATATCCGTGTCTCTGTGTCTGTACCTCTGTGTCCGCGTCTCAGTATCCGTGCCTGTGTGTGTGTCCGTGTCTCTGTGTCTCTGTGCGTATCCGTGTCTCCGTGTGTCTCTATGTGTGTCCGTGTGTCTATGTGTGTCTCTGTGTGTGACCGTGTGTCTCTGTGTGCCTCTCTGTGTCTCTGTGTGTCTCTGTGTGTCTCTGTGTGTCTATGTGTCTCTGTGTGTGTCTCTGTGTGTCTCTGTGTGTCTCTCTGTGTCTCTCTGTGTCTCCGTCCAACTCGCTCCACGCAGTCTGGCGGAGCGGCTGCTGCGGCGGCTGTTGCGCTGGCTGTGGCTGCTGTGCGGCTTTGAGCTCCGGGAGGAGGGGGGGCCCCCCGCGACCCCCCTAGAGGCCCCCCTTCTCCTCGTCGCCCCCCACACCTCGCACTTCGACGTCATCCCCGTCGCGATCCACCTCGCGGCCCTCCTCAGTGACGCGGACGCGGCGCCGGGGCTGCCCCTCGTGGGAGGTGACCAGGGGGGGGCGGGGGGCGGGGGGTGAGGGGGCGGGAGGCGGTGGGGGGGCTGAGACAGAAAAGGGGGGGGGCGTGGGTTTCTCTAAATGGGAATGAGTTACTTTGTCTCCTTCAACTCAATACCCAATCACTCAATCCTGAACTAATAATCAATACCCAATCACTCAATCCTGAACTAATCATCAATACCCAATCACTCAATCCTGAATGAATAATCAATACCCAATCACTCAATCCTGAACTAATAATCAATACCCAATCACTCAATCTGGAATTAATCATCAATACTAAATCACTCAATCCTGAACTAATCATCAATACCCAATCACTCAATCCTGAACTAATCATCAATACCCAATCACTCAATCCTGAATGAATAATCAATACCCAATCACTTAATCCTGAACTAATAATCAATACCCAATCACTCAATCTGGAATTAATCATCAATACCAAATCACTCAATCCTGAACTAATAATCAATACCCAATGACTCAATCCTGAATTAATAATCAATACCCAATCACTCAATCCTGAACTAATAATCAATACCCAATGACTCAATCCTGAACTAATAATCAATACCCAATCACTCAATCCTAAACTAATCATCAATACCCAATCACTCAATCCCGAATTAATAATCAATACCCAATCACTCAATCCTAAATGAATAATCAATACCCAATCACTCAATCCTGAACTAATAATCAATACCCAATCACTCAATCCTGAACTAATAATACCCAGTCACTCCATCCTGAATTAATAATCAATACCCAATCACTCAATCCTGAACTAATAATAAATACCCATCCACTCAATCCTGAACTAATAATCAATACCCAATCACTCAATCCTGAACTAATAATCAATACCCAATCACTCAATCCTGAACTAATCATCAATACCCAATCACTCAATCCTGAATGAATAATCAATACCCAATCACTCAATCCTGAACTAATAATCAATACCCAATCACTCAATCTGGAATTAATCATCAATACCAAATCACTCAATCCTGAACTAATAATCAATACCCAATGACTCAATCCTGAATTAATAATCAATACCCAATCACTCAATCCTGAATTAATAATCAATACCCAATGACTCAATCCTGAACTAATAATCAATACCCAATCACTCAATCCTAAACTAATCATCAATACCCAATCACTCAATCCCGAATTAATAATCAATACCCAATCACTCAATCCTAAATGAATAATCAATACCCAATCACTCAATCCTGAACTAATAATCAATACCCAATCACTCAATCCTGAACTAATAATACCCAGTCACTCCATCCTGAATTAATAATCAATACCCAATCACTCAATCCTGAACTAATAATAAATACCCATCCACTCAATCCTGAACTAATAATCAATACCCAATCACTCAATCCTGAACTAATAATCAATACCCAATCACTCAATCCTGAACTAATAATCAATACCCAATCACTCAATCTGGAATTAATCATCAATACCAAATCACTCAATCCTGAACTAATCATCAATACCCAATCACTCAATCCTGAATGAATAATCAATACCAAATCACTCAATCCTGAACTAATCATCAATACCCAATCACTCAATCCTGAATGAATAATCAATACCCAATCACTCAATCCGAAACTAATCATCAATACCCATTTACTCAATCCTGAACTAATCATCAATACCCAATCACTCAATCCCGAATTAATAATCAATACCCAATCACTCAATCCTAAATGAATAATCAATACCCAATCACTCAATCCTGAACTAATAATCAATACCCAATCACTCAATCCTGAACTAATAATACCCAGTCACTCCATCCTGAATTAATAATCAATATCCAATCACTCAATCCTGAACTAATAATAAATACCCATCCACTCAATCCTGAATTAATAATCAATACCCAATCACTCAATCCTGAACTAATAATAAATACCCATCCACTCAATCCTGAACTAATAATCAATACCCAATCAATATCCAATCAATACCCCCCGCCCCTCCCCCCCTAGCCGTGCTGGGCGCCCTGCAGGCGGTGCGCGTGGGAGGCGAGGAGGGGGCGGTGCGCGCCGAGAGGGCGGCGGAGGAGACGAGGCGCCGGGTGGAGAGGGCAGCCAAGGGAGCGCTCCCACAGGCACGCGGCACCAGCATCAGCATCAGTAGCATCAGCAGTAGCCCAACCATCATCATCAGCAGCATCATCAGCAGCATCCCAATCTTCAATATCAGCAGCAGCATCATCATCATCAGTAGCAGTATCAGTAGCATCAGCAGCAGCCCAACCATCATCAGCAGCATTATCAGCAGCATCATCAGCAGCATCCCAATCTGAAATATCATCAGCAGCATCATCAGCAGCATCATCAGCAGCATCATCGTCGTTGTGCGGGCCGCGTTCTGTCTCCAGAGGCACGTGGCGGTGTTCCTGGAGGAGACGGAGCCGGGGAAGGGAGCCGGCAGCGCTTGTGAGAGAGGTGAGAGAGGGAGAGTGGTGAGAGAGGTGAGAGAGGTGAGAGAGGTGAGAGAGGTGAGAGAGGTGAGCGTGGTGAGAGAGGTGAGAGTGGTGAGAGAGGTGAGAGAGGTGAGAGAGGTGAGAGAGGTGAGAGAGGGAGAGTGGTGAGAGAGGTGAGAGAGGTGAGAGAGGGAGAGAGGTGAGAGAGGTGAGAGAGTTGAGAGTGGTGAGAGAGGTGAGGGAGGGAGAGTGGTGAGAGAGGGAGAGTGAGGTGAGTGGTGAGAGAGGTGAGAGAGGCGAGAGAGGGAGAGTGAGGTGAGTGGTGAGAGAGGTGAGAGAGGCGAGAGGGGACAGCGAGGGGAGTGTGGTGAGAGCTTGAAAACCGAACCTCCGATTAACACGGTTGACTACGTACGGTGCGAAAGAAGTGCAACGTAATACCATACATACAAAAAGGAAGAGTGAATTGGTTTAGGAGAGACATCTCAATGTAGCAGGACCTCCCCAAAACTAGTCTTTGAAACGCGACGATGCGTTGTGGGATAAATGATTTGGCGTCATTATGATCATTCTCAAAAGAAAAATTCCATAAACGCAATTTGCCGAACTTAAATTGAACGGTTCCCAGAAGCAGTCCTGTGGTATCCTCTTCCGCGGGCCATTCCCCAACCCGCCAGACGGGGGGGGGGAGGGGGGGACGACTCCACGTTCTCCACCCTGGGGCCTCGCCAGACGAAGACTTCACTAGGAGCGCCCTCGCCATCGTCTCGCGGGACAACACGGCCCCGCAGGAACAGATTGCACAGAGCTACCGCTGAGAACGATTGCACCAAGCGACTCGGGGGGTTTGCTCTCCCACATGCCCTGCTGAGGGGTGACGCCCGTTGCATGGCAATCTAATTTCTACTTTTAAGATTACCATTTTTTTAAAAATCGACGTTGGTGACCGGACCGAGACCATGAACTGACTGCACTGGAGCTACCGGTGGTTTAGCGCACGGCGACTGAGACCCGGATTCGAACCCGGGGTCACCACCAGCAGCGCTGCCGGCTCCACCTCCCTGACCGCTCAGCCACCCGGCCACCTCCCGAAGTCCAACACGCAGAGCTCTCCACTCCTCTCCCCTCGTCATCCTCTCCCCTCGTCATCCTCTCTACTCGTCATTGTGTTCTCCACAACGACGTGAATGATGAGTCTGCCTTGCGCGTCATATCGAAGCGGGGCCCAGAGCCAACGGAGCGGAGGTCCTTGCCGATGAACAACATCGGACAGTCTCAGCAGCATTCGTTCAAGCAAGCCTCGACCATTATGATGACGATGACGACGATGATGATGACGATGATAATGACGATGATGTTGATGATGATGACGATGATGATGACGATGATGTTGATGATGATGACGATGATGATGACGATGATGATGACGATGATGATGACGATGATGATGACGATGATGATGACGATGATGATGACGATGATGATGACGATGATGATGACGATGATGATGATGACGATGTTGATGATGACGATGATGATGACGATGATGACGATGATGATGATGACGATGATGATGACGATGTTGATGACAATGATGATGACGATGATGATGACGATGTTGATGACGATGATGATGACGATGATGATGACGATGATTATGACGATGATGATGATTGATGACGATGACGACGATGATGATGAGACACCGGATGTTGAAACCGCTCCGGAGTTTTCGTTGACGCAGCGCTGCTGACACTAACCACGTGGCTGATGGGATGGGTAGAAAATGCTCGCGCACGTCTCGGTGTGGATGGACGGCTCTGTGGGGGGTGCCGCCTCTCCGTCGAGTCGTTCTGTTGCTGGATGACTGCGCCATGAACCTGGAAGGCGGCGTGAGGGGGTGGGGGCGGTGGGGGGACTAGGCGGGGGGCAAAGAGGGAGATTAGGGCGTGGGGGGCAATTTTCTAGGGAGATTGCGGGGTGCGAGATTTGGGGGGGGGGGGGGGTGGTGAGGGAGGGAGGCAGGGGAGAGGCCCCGTGGTTGTTGTTGCCGCTGCGTTACCTGGGGTGTCACGTCACCCCCCTCCACCCCCCTCCACCCCCCGTCCTCCCCCTCCACCCCTCCCCCTCTCCCCCCTCCCAGGCGCCTTGTCCGTGGGGGTGGCGGCTCAAGTGGTGCTCATCAAGTACGAGACGGTGAGGGAGCGAGGCGCGCACGCCGGGACACCGCCACCACCTCCACCACCGCCAACATTTGTCAATGCACCTTTAAGATCAGCACACTAAATCAAAACACAGATCATACTTTGCAGCGATCATCCGGAGCGAAACATTTTATTTTAGGCCACTGAATAGCACTGGCAGCTAGGGGTGTACAACTCCTCTAGAGCAGTTTTGAGTGAAGATCTCATAGGTACATCTTCTGGGTTCTTTCGGTAAAGTCACGTAGAAGGGAAGTAATAAAATAATAAAAATAAAACATAATACATTTATTATTATTTTATTACTTCCCTTCTACGTGACTTTACCAAAAGAACCAAGAAGATGAATCCTTGTAGTCACGAAAGCTTTAAATCAAAATTTATCTCATAGGTAGTGATTCAAGTTGCAGTTTATTGTCAATAGCATTCCAGACCCTGGGGGCATCAATAGCAAAGTCCCTTCCTCCAGTATTTGTACGGCAATAGGGAATGTGAAGCTGGTAAATGAGCGAAGACCTTAGGTCAAATTTGTTCTTTGAAACAGAGAGGAGATCCAGCAGGTAATCTGCGGATTTTTTTGTAAGTACATCGTGAATAAATAAGATCTGATGCACAAGCCGTAGAACATTGAGAGATGTTAAGTTTGACCCAATGTAGAGATCACAGTGGTGAGTCCTATATGGGCAGTTCAATGCAAATCTAAAGGCCGAGTGATACATTGAGTCAAGCTTCTTCAGTACAGTACTTGGGGCTGATTTATACACGACGTCACAGTAATCAAGTAGAGGCAGTACGGTAGCTTTTATCAATTCCAAACGGAACATAGGGGGGAAGCAGTGCTTGTGTCGATACAAAAATTTGTTTTTGTCTTTTTACCAATATAATCAATGTGATCTTCAAAATTCAGAGAGAGTTGGTGTCGTGTCGCTGTCCCTCCTCCTCCTCCTCCGTTGAAGGATCCCAGGCCCCAGTGGGGTCACTGTGGGGCTCCCTCGCTTGGGTTGCACGGCCACAGTCGCGCTGCTCGTGGCTCGCGTCTTCAGTCCCCCATTGCATGAAGGAGATGTAGGCACAGGCCTGCTGCTGCTGCTACCGCTGCTGCTGCTGTTGTTGTCGCTCCTGTTGTTGTTGTTGACAGTCATCCGCGAGCACGCGCAAACTCGGCCTCTATCCGCGTGGTGTTGTCCTTCCCCAGCAACTCCGATTAGCGCGTTTGGCTAGGTACGGTGCGAAAGAAGTTCAACGTGCACACGAACACACGTGCACACGTGTGTTCGTGTGCACGCGTGTGGACCAGCGCGGACGCGCAGAACGGACACCGCATTCGAGTTCGCATCGCCTCCTGGCTTTGACATTGCTCCTCGAAGACACTGGCCCAACCATCATGTCTCTGTGTCTCTGTGTATCTCTCTCTCGGTGTCTCCGTGTCTCTGTGTGTCTCTCTCTCTTTGTCTCCGTGTCTCTCTCTCGGTGTTTCTGTGCAGGAAGTCGTCTCGTGGGCCGTGCACGGACCATCCCCGTGAGCTCCCTCTCCCAACTACACACACAACAACCACACAACTACACAACCACACCACAACCACACCACAACCACTCAACTCCACACACAACAACCACACACAACAACCACACAACCACACACTACAATCACACACCACAACCACACTACAACCACACACCACAACCACACAACAACCACACACCACAATCACACACTACAACCACACTACAACCACACACCACAACCACACAACAACCACACCACAATCACACACTACAACCACACTACAACCACACAAACACAACTACACACAACTACACCACAACCACTCAACTCCACACACAACTACACCACAACCACACAACAACCACAACCACACAACACACCACAACCACACCAAAATCACACCACAACCACACACCACAACCACACCACAATCACACCACAACCACACACCACAACCACACCACAACCACACACAACCACACCACAAGTACACCACAACCATACAACCACACGCAACTACAAATACCACAACCACACAACACAACCACACAGCAACCACACAACTACGCCCAACAACCACACAACTACACAATACAACCACACACAACAACCAGACAATAACAAACAACCACACGCACACACAACAATCGCACAACAACACAACCACACCCAATACAACCACACAACACTACCACCACACAACACACCACTGCTGCCATGACCTCTCGACCAATGACACCGACCCCTTCTCCCACCCCGCCCCACCCCGCAGGATCAAGGTGTTGTGGCTGACCATGTGCCGGCCGCGACGCCGCGTGCTCATCCAGGTGAGGGTCCTGCCCGAGAACGTCGCTCGAGCGGTCGGCGTCACCGTCGCGAGCCGCGCGCTCGATCCACTGCTGGACGAGCACCGCCGCCTGCCACGTGACGAGCTCCGCACGCACGTGGCGAGCTCCGCACGCACGTGGCGGCCCTCGTGCGGCCCAGCGCCCGACCGTGCGGAGGCACCAGCCGGGGGGTGGTGGATCGCCCGGGGAAGGCAGTACAGCAAATGTGGAACCCCACCTGTTACACCTGTACGGGGATAGAGCGTCGCCCCCTCGCACGCGTGGACGCTCCGGTTTCCTCCCACGTGTATGGACACTAAACATCGTCCATTGGGTCGATAACAACTTCATAAAGAGAGTGCGTCAGAGCGTGGGTAAGTGTTGGTGGCGCCGGCTCGCCGCGTGGCCGCGCTGCCTTGCCGCTCGTCCGCCTGGCGTCTCTGAGTCGTCCCCCTCCCTTCAAGAGCACCTCCGCTTAGCACGGGTGGCTACGTACGGTGCGAAAGAAGTTCAACTCACGTAGACACGAGAGCGAGCGGATGCTCAGGGCGTTACAAGTCGACGTCATGATTAACACTCGATCAGAGCATGCACGAAGTATAATTATTACTCTCCACAGACCCGGTGCGTACGCGCGTAGCTGACACCCGCTTTGCACGTATACCACGTGACACCCACTGTGCACGTGTACCCCGTGACACCCGCTGTGCACGTATACCACGTGACACTAACTGTGCACGTGTACCACGTGACACCCGCTGTGCACGTGTACCACGTGACACCCGCTGTGCACGTGTACCACGTGACACTAACTGTGCACGTGTACCACGTGACACCCGCTGTGCACGTGTACCACGTGACACCCGCTGTGCACGTGTACCACGTGACACCCGCTGTGCACGTGTACCCCGTGACGCAGTACCTGCCAGTGTACTCGCCCAGCGAGGAGGAGCGGAAGGACCCGGACCTGTACGCGAACAACCTGCGCGCCCAGGTGCACAGGTGAGCTGCGCCGCACACACCGCACACAACTGACTCTCGTGAGACGCGTGCGTCTGCGTGTGTGTGTGTCTGCGTGTGTGTGTCTGCGTGTCTCTGCGTGTGTCTGTGTATGCGTGTGTCTGTGTGTGTCTGCGTGTGTGTCTGTGCGTGTCTGCGTGTGTGTGTATGCGTGTGTATGTGCGTGTGTGCGTCTTCGCGTGTGTCTTTGTGTGTCTGCGTGTCTGCGTGTGTCTGCGTGGGGATCGGTGGCGCAGCGGTTAACGCACAGCCTCAATCAACCAATCTTTGATTGAACCCTAGTTCGATTCCCGCTCATGGCCAACACCGGTGACGAAGATCAGAACTGGGCCTGGACCTCCCCTAGGTTGACTCGGACGCAAATGAGTACCTGGTGCGATGTGTAAACATCGCAATTCGGGAGACAAAGGCGGTGGGGGCGTGGTGCTGTCCACCCTCCCCCTCGTGCGCCGTGCCGGCCTTCATCGGGGCTACTCGCTTACAGCACTTGCACCAGAGGTCCGTTCAGGCTATACGGGGGATCTTTGTCTTTGTGACGATGCCTTCGCGTGCGTGTGAATTCGCGTGTATGTGAATATATGTGAATGTGTATGTTGTGTATGTGTGTGTATGTGAATGTGTATGTATGTTGAACTTTCACACTCTACGTAGCACACTATACTGCGATCCCATGCATAAGAGTTCGATTCCCGACCACGGCTAACATCAGTGGCAAGTGAAGTCTGTAACTTTAATTCATTTAAATAAATATCCATGAATCACACTGACCCCCCTGCACTGCCCCCCCCCTCCCCGGCCTCTTAGGGCCCTGCAGGAGACTGCGCCCCCCACGGGAGATGGGTCCCGGACCCCTGTGAGGAGCACGTGGAGAGGGGGCCCGGGAGGCGCCCCCCAGAGGGAGCATCTCCTGGAGCTGCTGCAGAGCCTCAAGTGAGGAGGCTGCGGTCCCCCTGCCCCTCCCCCTGTCCCTCCCCCTCTCCCTCCCCCCTCTCCCTCTCTCTCTCCCTCCCCCTCTCCCTCCCCCTCCCCCTCCCCCTCTCCCTCCCCCTCTCCATCCCCCTCTCTCTCCCCCTCTCCCTCCCCCTCCCCCTCACCCTCCCCCTCTACCTCAACCTGCCCCTCCATCCGTCTCTCCTTGTCCCCGTGTGTCTCCCCCCGCGTGTCTCGAGACAGCCTGCTGGTGAGCTGTAGACAGAAGCTGACCCTGTGTCTCTGTCTCCCCCCGCGTGTCTCGAGACAGACTGCTGGTGGACCGCGCCATCCCCGAGCTCGAGGCGATCTCTGAGCGCGTCCGCGCCCTGGGGGCCACGCGCGTGACTCCACGTGACCTGGCCGCGTGCCTCGCGCGGCCCGAGGGCCCCCACATGCGCGTGCTGCACGCCGCCTTCGACCCGGTCAGTGTCCAGGGCGCCGTCGGCCACGATCTTTCTCCGCTGCTGGATGAACGCCTCTCCAAGCTGTCGTCGCCTCTCGGGGGTCTCGCGATGCTGCGATCTGTCTCGATTGTCAGATTTCCAATTTGGGCACGGTTCGTGCAGTTTCGTGTGCAAGTATGAGAGAGTGTGTATGTGTGAGAATGTGCGAGTGTGTTTGTGAGTGTTTAGGGGGGGCGGTGGTGGAGTAGCGGTTAGCGCATTGACCTATGAACCCGAGTTCGAATCCCACTCATGGTCAACTCCAGTGGCGATTGTCTAAACCACTCCTGGGCCTCCCCTAGGTCGACTCGGCTTCAAATGAGTACCTGGTGAGGTGTGTAAACATCACCACTGGGGAGAAAAAGGTGGCCGGGCGTGGTGTTGGCCATCCACCACCTCATATACTGTGCCGGCCTTCACAGGTGCTCTTCTCTAACAGCACTTGCCCCAACAGTCTGTTTAGTCTTAATGGGGGATCTCTGTCTTTGTGTGCAGGGTTCTTGCCATTAACTCACTTCACTCGAGAACCCGGTTTAGTCCCACGCAGGGTCCCAGCGCCGCCGCTTTGGCGTCTCTGACCTCCGAGTCGCCCGGCCTCCTGGAGGTCTTCCGCTCTCAACACAAAACCTTCACGCGCACGGCGGAGAGTGCGGGCCCCGCCGTAGCGAGAGGCGCAATCCCGCAAGACGAGCGGCCGCTCGCCAGCCTCGTCGGGCGTTGCCGCTGGGGCCTGGTTACCGGCCGGCCCTGGGCTGGCTCGGTCAGGGTCAGGCGGGTGGGCCCTGCGAGGTGCGATTTTGCGCAGGTCCACCACCACCGGCCTGGGGAGTGTTTGTGTGAGCGGACGCCGGCGGCCTGCCGCTCACGAACGACTCTCTGGTGCCCCCCCCCCCTCCCCCCGTGGGCGCAGGGGGCGCGAGGCCACGTGGACGCCCGGGAGGTGCTCGTGGGCCTGGTGCGCGCCGTGTGGCCCGCCCAGCACCTCGAAACCCTGGACCTCGCCTTCCAGGTGACCCCGGCCAGCGGGGGTCACGCACGGCGGAACGTCCAGCCTGAGCCTTAGACGACGAGCGACGCGTGGGGTGGCGGGGGTAGATATCGAAGATATCGAGGACACCCCTTGACCCAGGGCCTGTGAAAAGAACTTTATAACTCATCGGATTTTATTCCAAAGGCCCACGGGTTGGGGGGGGGGGGGCACGTGCCGGGCGCGTGCCGGGCTCCCAAGAGGGACAGCACCGGCGCCCATTGCCCTCCTTGCACTGGGGCCCGTCCTGCAACCACGCTAGGCCACTGGGTTAGGGGTGAGGTTTGATGGCAGAGAAAGGGCCGGTGACCGGTTGGCTCGTTAATTTGGGAGGCCTCGTACGAGTGGAAAGTTGGTTAGGGTGGGTTGGAGGACGAGTACCAGGGTCGGTTGACCATCTGGTTGGGGTTAGAGGATTGACACAGGAGCGCTGTATGTTGCGCGTGCGTGTATTGTTAGTTCCCCACTCTTGCAATTGCTGCCACTGATAGCGGACAATCACTCAAGCCTAATGAGGTCTCCGCGACCGATCGTCACCGGCTGCAATGAGATGTAAAAAAATATCAATTTGTGTTTTCACTGACCCCGCTCGCTCGCTCCGTGGCCGCGTGACCCCGCAGGTGTACGACCCTCGGGGTCAGGGAGAGGTCACGCAGGAAGAGGTGCTGGGGGCCCTGCGCGCCACCCTGGGGCCTGACCTGCCCTTTGACCCCATCGCCCTCTTCCGAGCCGCTGACCCCCACCACACGGGGGCCGTCACATACGGTGAGGTCCTCGCCACGGGAATGTGTAATTTCCACATTCGAGCACTGCCTCGTTGCATGCTTAAAGTTGATTTCGTTTTGCCAACACGATGGAAGCAAGAGCACAACAAGTCGGGGAGACAACTCTGAATTGACTCTTCGCTGCCCAACCCAACTTGAAGGTGTCTACGCATCCGTGAAGAAGATCCAATGTGAATCGCGCTGTGATATTAAGCTGTATTGTTATTAGGGAGTTCATAATCATGAACTCCCATGATCAATCCACTGCTGGATGAAGGCCTCCCAAATGTACGGGCATCTTCCGCGGTTCTGCGATGCCACGACCCATCCATCAAACGGAGCTCAAGGCTCCGTCTCTGCCGAAGACGTCCTCTCGCGTGCGTTCCCCTCCTTTGGCTGCCATTCCAGCCTTCGTCTCGACAGACGATCGAACGTACAACAGTCGCACCCCGTGCACGCTGGAGGCAGCGTCGTTATGACTGCGACGAAAAAGTGAGTGGGGCCCGAGCCGGGGATGCGTCACGTTCTGGACCGACCGCCGGCGGAGCGAAATCGCCCAATGTGGAGATGGAGCAATGAAATAATCTCTGGCGTGAGCGCCGAATGGATTGCTACAGCGCGGCACCGTGGCTTGTGGAGGCCCTCATCTGCCAGCGGGTAGATCGTAACGACGACGACGACGATAAACCTCTTGAGACGAAAAAAAACTTCATCCAACTAAATAAAACGTATCAGTCACCAGCAGCAGTAAACTCCGGGCCACCAGGGACTGAGTCTTTCTCTCTTGCCCGAGCGATTTAAATTCACCAAATGTGCCCAATTTTTTTTGAGCCAATGACAGCCAAATGTTTAGACTGTAGCGGGCAGCGCGCTTAATGAGCTGGAAACGAAGACTGCTGATACCCGGGATTTTTGTTGTTGTTTAACTTCGTGATAATTCGTGACGACCGCAAATGAAAGCGGGGTGTTTATCTGAGGTTTATGGGGGGGGTTGCCCGAGTTTCGTTTGGAGGCTATTTCCTTGCCATCTGATTTGACACCGTGAGCTGCCATGGCGGAGGTCAGAGGGCACTGCCGTGAGAAGTGAATAAGGAACAAAATCTAAAAAGCGGCCAAGGTGAAGGGACAGAGGTGGAGCGATGGTTGGGGGTTAAGGTTGGAGTCAATAGCAGCGTTTGGGGCGTGTGGTTAGCGTTACAGGGAGGGCAAGCATCTGGTTGAATAGCTCGGGTTCGGATAACTGCGTAGCCATCACGTGTGTCGGCAGTGCAGCCGCACCAGGTCCAGTGGGCCGAAGGGGCCCGGATGCTGAGCTGGGGCTGGTGTCTGGCTGCCCAGTGTGGTCAGGGCAATATTATGATGATGATGATGAATCTTGACTTAAAGCTTTCGTGACTGCAGGAATTCATATTCTTTGTAATGATGATGATGGTTGTGACAAAGGCGGTGATAACTTTGCTTATGATGTTAATACTTAATAACACGGAATATGATTGCAATTAAAATTATGATGGTTGTGACAACGATGAACTCTTGCCCTGTGACCCTTAGCCGCGTTCATGGAGGTCGCCCAGCGCTGCCCGGAATTCCGAGTCACGTGTGGTGGCGAGGGGGCCACGGGGGAACCGGATCGCGTGAGGAAGGGCCCGGAGGGGCCCTCCCGCCCACAGAGGCCCCCATCGGACGCGTACGCCTACGCGGACTTCACGCAGAGCCGGAGTGGGGAGCCTGGGGGCCGCCTGAAGACGGAATGACGCGGAGTGGCATAGACTGCCAAGGGTTTAAAGTTTGAAAGTTTTTTTTCTGGGGAAGAGCTCTGCCCATATTTGAGTTGGCAGGGTGGTGTAGTGGAACCACGTGTGCCGCACTGAAGCAACGTTCTGGGTTCCGAATCGGGAAGCTGTTGTGCGTGTAGCATGTTCTCTTCCTGCATGGGTTTCCTCCGGGCTCTCTTGGCTTCCAACCATTGGCTAACAAAACCACACAGTGTAACTGGCATCGGTCAAAACATCCCAATGCTGAAAATTTCACTTGCTAATCACTCAATTTGTGATGCCGTTCCTTTCGTGGCGATGGCAGTGTGTTAGTTCTTGAGGGTCCTTCAAAGTCGAGGCGGTTCACTCGAAGACCTCGTCCCATCGGTGACTGCCCTGACAAGGGCCCCATTGCTTCCAGCAGTCGGATTCTCCTGCCCCACGGCTGGATTCGAATTCACGGCGTCCGTTTCACGGCGTCCGTTGCGTTGAGCGGTGGCGCGAAGGACACGTGACGATAGGTGGGGGAGGGGGGGCTACCGCGGGGGGCTGCCGTGAGGTGGGGGGCTAACTTGGGGTGGGGGGAGGGGCTACCGCAGGGAGGGGCTACCCTGGGATGGGGGGCTACCGCCAGGTGGGGAGCTACTTTGGGGTAGGAAGGAGGGGGCTACCCTGGGGTGGGGGGCTACCGCGAGGGGAGGGAGGGGCTACCCTGGGGTAGGGGGCTACCGCGGGGGGAGGGGGGCTACCGCAGGGAGGGGGCTACCGCAGGGAGGGGGCTACCGTGTCCCGCCCGCCGGGAGCCCGAGACCGAGCGAGGCTTTGCTGCGTCAATGGCGATATGACGAATAAAGGATATGGTCAAATAAAGGCCGCAGCGACTGGGACGTTCATGGAGGCGCCACGTGTATTGTTGTTGCCGTTGCCAGCGTGGGTTTTACTTCAACTTGAGTTCTGGTGGTGGGGGTTAGGGGAGGGTGGGGGGTTGGGGGTTGGGGGGTCTCGGGCTAACTGGTACCAGCACTTGTGAGCCCGCTCCAGTTGCCTGTCAACGTTCTGCTGGGGCCTCTTGCCGGTGACACGCAACACAGCACCACCTGACGTGAACATTTCCCCCCCGAGTTCGTCATTTAAATCCATCCGAGATCAAGACCATTTAAACAACAACAAAAAATCCCCACTTACAATGTTTACGCGACGGGCTGCTGGTGTTCTGCTAATGAGCGGGCGAGTGTTTGTTTTGGTTTCAGTGTCGTGAGCCCCGCTAAGGATGATGCACAAATAAACCCGCGGCTTCGTTCGGATGCTCGGCCATTTCAGAATAAGAGCCTCCATCTGTCGATGGGGATGATGCCGCTGCTGTTGTCTTGGGTGCTAGCGAGTCGCTGCGGTGTCCCGGCTGGCGGCCCCGTGGGGTCGCGAGCCCTTCCATGGTCGGACTTTAGGGAAGGAACTTTTGGCGGCGCTGTCAATTCTAACGCACGATTTGGGAGATGTGGGAAACGAAAGACGCAAGCCACGGGAGTGCGATTGTCGCCATGCAACGCAACACGATGGGCCATATAGGAGACCTACAGAGACCCACAGAGATACACAGAGACCCACAGAGACCCACAGAGATATATTAAAGACAAGTCCGTTGTGCGATTGTGGCCATGCAACCCAATCGGTGGACCATGCAGTAAATCCATGGAGACACAGAGACACACGCAGACTCATAAAATACATAGACACTCATCGTGACTCAAGCAGATACATAAACCCATTGAGATAGCAACCCAAAGGGGACACGTGACAGACAAGGCACGGGGCTATTGTGGCGATACAACCCAAAACTACGGACCGTGGAGCAGGCCGCTGTCCTCTCTGCGCTCCGTCACCGGAGGAGGAGGGTGACAGCGGACACGGCACCAACTCTCTCCTAAAGCCCTCGCGTCGTGGCGAGCAGTAGACGCCGACATTGGCTGTTCGAGCCTGCACGTGAGACGAGAAGATGTGTGAATGTCGTGACTGCGGCACGAGGACTGGCGGACGGCATCGGCTCGCGGAGTGACTCGTTGGGATGGACTCCACACAGATCGGAGAGGCGGGAGAGATGAGAAGATAAAAGAGAGATGATTATTTGTAAGTTGAGCGAGATACGTGTAGACACGATGTCGCGCCGAGTGGAGGTGCTCCCACCTCCTCCCAACACTTCTGTGGAGCGCTGGAAGAGTAAACCAAATACCACTGTAACTGTTTCTTATTTTACCAGGTAATTACCACTGAGCGATACGTTTAGCTCGTGTTCAGAAGCGACCTGCCCACAAAGAAGCTCAAGGAAGTAGATTCTCACGTGGAAATGTATAGCAGCCAATTCTCTAAACGCGTGATGTTGATTATTACGTGGAAATGTATAGCAGCCAATTCTCTAAACGCGTGATGTTGATTATTACGTGGAAATGTATAGCAGCCAATTCTCTAAACGCGTGATGTTGATTATTACGTGGAAGGGAAAACCCGGAGGACGCGGAGAACAATCCAGACGGGCACGAGGAGAGCGACACGCAAACTCCAAATTCTGTATACAGGCGTCAGGGTCGGGATCGAACCCACGCGCTTGTGTATACCAGGCGAGGTCGTTGACACATCTGCAGGGCCTCCCTCGCGCTCAATCAGCGAGCGGAGGCCCTTCCGCCACCAGGGGCGTGAGACGAGCACTTGCGGGGCTGCGCCTTCACCCCTCGCCTGGTGGGGCTCCGGACGTCTGACCCCAGCAGCTGCCAGTGACCAACAGCAGCCACCGCAGGGGAACGATCCGTGATGTGGGGACGGTGACGGCGGGCGGGAGGGTGCGCGCGTGTTCCAGGTGGATCTGGTTGTAAATCTGCTGTTCTGGTAGCAGCCTAAGCAGCTTGCGTCTGGAGTTTAAACCTTTTAGTTTGGTATCAATGCCGAGGGTCGTTTTTCTGTTCTTCTAGATCAGAAGCGCACATTCAGAAGAGGTTTAGGAATCGTCGTCTGGGAGATTCATATCCAGCATTGATCTCGTGGAAAGGCGCTTTCCGCTCGGATGGATCTCAACCGGGAACTCCACTTCCGGTTGCCCCCCCCCCAACTCCCCTGACCCCCCCTCCCCACGTCCCGGGCCCCCCACTCCCCCGCTCCCACCCCACTCCCTGGGCCCCCCACCCCACTCTCCTGACCCCCCCTCCCCACGTCCCGGGTCCCCCACTCCCCCGCCCCCCACCCCACTCCCTGGGACCCCCACCCCACTCTCCTGACTCCCCTCCCCACGTCCCGGGTCCCCCACTCCCCCGCCCCCCACCCCACTCCCTGGGACCCCCTCCCCACGCCCCGGCCCCCCCCCCACGCCGCGGGCCTCTCACTCCCCACTCCCCCCTCCCCAGGCCCCCACCCACTCTCCCCTCCCCCTCCCCGTGCCCTGGGCCCCCCCACTCCCCCCCTCCCCCCTCCCCGTGCCCTGGGCCCCCCCCCACTCCCCACTCACTCCTCCCCAGGCCCCCCCCCACTCCCCCCTCCCCACGCCCCAGGACCCCCCCCCACTCCCCCCTCCCCACGCCCCAGGACCCCCCCCCACTCCCCCCTCCCCCCTCCCCACGCCCCAGGACCCCCCCACTCCCCCCTCCCCACGCCCCAGGACCCCCCCCCCCCACTCCCCCCTCCCCACGCCCCAGGACCCCCCCCCCACTCCCCCCTCCCCACGCCCCAGGACCCCCCCCACTCCCCCCTCCCCCCTCCCCACGCCCCAGGACCCCCCCCACTCCCCCCTCCCCACTCCCCACGCCCCAGGACCCCCCCCCCCCACTCCCCCCTCCCCACGCCCCAGGACCCCCCCCCCACTCCCCCCTCCCCACGCCCCAGGACCACCCCCCCCCCACTCCCCCCTCCCCACGCCCCAGGACCCCCCCCCCCACTCCCCCCTCCCCCCTCCCCACGCCCCAGGACCCCCCCCCCACTCCCCCCTCCCCACTCCCCACGCCCCAGGACCCCCCCCCCACTCCCCCCTCCCCACGCCCCAGGACCCCCCACTCCCCCCTCCCCACGCCCCAGGACCCCCCCCCCCACTCCCCCCTCCCCACGCCCCAGGACCCCCCCCCCCACTCCCCCCTCCCCACGCCCCAGGACCCCCCACTCCCCCCTCCCCACGCCCCAGGACCCCCCCCCCCCACTCCCCCCTCCCCACGCCCCAGGACCCCCCCCCCACTCCCCCCTCCCCACGCCCCAGGACCCCCCCCCCCACTCCCCCCTCCCCACGCCCCAGGACCCCCCCCCCACCCACTCAGCAGCGGGTCCCGTTATCTGCTGACTGGCCACGATTCGATTTCTCCGTTACGTAATAAAAAATATCGATTCCCGCGCTGACGATTCTCACGCCGCGCGATTATAATGGCCGAGGGCGGCTGAACGTCTCCCTCCGTCCCCGTCTCCTCTCTCGCACTGCCCATGGAGCCGTCGCAACTCCCCGCCAGCCCCGCCACCACCCACCGCGCCCCATCGCCGCCACCGGGAAACATTGAAGAGGAGTCGACTCCAGAAATCGATCGAGCGAATCGAGCGGCGGCCGAAATCGATCGTCCTTGAGGGAATCGCCCCGTCGCCTGCGGCTCCGCTGGTCGCGGCGCCATGGCCACCACCACCAGCACCACCAGCAGCAGCAGCATCAACCCCTTCCTCAGCGACTCGGACGACTCGGACGACGACTCAGACGGCGGCGGCGGCGGAGGAAGAGGAGGAGGCGGCGGCGGAGCGGGGTCCAGGATCCCTCGAGCCCGCGCCTCGGACCCCGCGCAGCAGCCGAGCCCCGCGTCCCGCGTCAAGAGGCGGCCACCCTCGTCTCCTGCTTCGCCCATCTCCCCGCAGCAGCAGCAGCCGCAGCAGCCTCGGTCGCCTCCTCCTCCTCCACCGTCCGCCTCCTACTCGGGCTCCTGCCCCCCCGCCGCGGCCCCCTGGCACTGCGACCCCGCCGAGCCGCCGGGCCACGGCGGCCTCCTCCCCCCCGCGCCGCGCGTCTCGCTGGACGCGCTCGCCGAGCGGCTCCTGCAGGAGCAGCTGCTGCTCACCGCGCTCGAGCTGCACACCGAGATGGCGGAGAGCGGACGAGAGCTGCCGCGGCTGCGAGACTTCTTCTCCAACCCGGGCAACTTCGAGCGCACTCCCGCGGGGCCCCCCGCCACCGCTTTCGCGAGGGACGCGGGCGGCCTACTGCCAGCAGCAGCAGCAGCGCCGGGGGTGCTCAGTGAGTGAGGGGGGTGGTGGTGATGGTGGTGGTGGGCCTGTTGGTTGTGTGCGTGTTGGCCCTCGTTGGCACTTGCCCCGACGGCCTGTCGAGGCTATAGAGGTGAGGGAGGAGGATTCTTTGTCTGTGCGGGTTGTGGGGGAGCGGTGGTGGTACGGTGAGCGCACTGCGCCTGCCGAGCCGATATCGGAGTTCGATTCCCGCTCACGGCGAATCTCTGAACCGATTTTGGGGTGCGTAAACGTCAGCGTTGGGGAGACAAAGGCGGCCGGGTGTGGTGTTGGCCACCCACACCCTCGTGTGCCGTGCCGGCCTTCATAGGTGCTGCTCGCTAATAGCACTTGCCCCTACAGTCTGTCAGAGGCTACACGGGGGGCGGGGATCTCTGTCTTTGTCGCAGCCCGTGATGCCGGGTGATGCCGTGATTAAATCCGCGTGTTCGTCTGCCCGCTGTGTAAATTAATTTCGCCGCCTCTGAATGGATTGTAAACCCAGGCCAGAAGGCGATTTCCATGCTGGGCCCGGAGCTCACAAATCACGTTCCCGCGGGGTCACGCGCGCGCGCGCGGGCTGCAATCGCAGCCATTCGTCCCATCTGTGCCCTCGTGATTTGATTACTTGGCCTCGACTCACTACCTTGGTTCCACGATTGCAGTGATCGTGACGGAGCTGCTGCGGGTGACGGTGATCGCGACGATGCCGATGGTGATGTTTTACGGCGAAACACGCGCGGCGATTTTGGTGGTGACGGTAAAAGCGATGGATCGGGTCATGATGATGACGACGACGATAGCAGCATGTGATTTCAGATGCCTTGAGATTCCCGTGTGATCGCGGTGGCAGTGACGGGGATAACGGCGATGGCAAGTGCTTCTGGGCAGGCTGCTACCCGTTGTGACAGCATCACACCGTTACGTTGAGCACCGTTGGCTACGTACGGCGCGAAGGAAGTTCAACATACGTACATACATCGGTAACGACGATCGGTCGGCGATCGAGGGAGTGGGTCGTCCATCGCTGACCGTGAGGAATCGCTGATGTTGCTCCACCCTCTGCCCCCTCCCCCCACCTCACCGTGACCCCGGCGGACAGACCGGGCCGGCAGCGCCAGCACGCTGGACTCGCTGGATTTCACTCGCTACTCGGACGACGGAGGCCGCGAGACGGAGGAGCGCGTGGCCGGTGAGCGCCAGCGCACCGTCGTCGCGCTGTGCTTCTGCACTCCCACGCCCCCCGCGCTGTCGACGCTGACCAGGGTGCTGAATTTCGAATTGTAATTTAGAATGATATATTTGTATTTAATTCATAATTTCACTTGTCTGTCCAGGAAAGCCACGCTGAGTCGTTTTCAGGAGGATTCTCGTGCTGCATTGAGATTTTATCTTCAGACGTTTTCAATGAATGATGAGTCGCGTTTATTAAACAAGTGAGAGAAAACCTCCGCGTGCGAGCGGACAACACTATCCCCGGACAGATGGAAACAGATGGATATTAGTCCCCTAGCTGTACTGCCTTCTCCTGGCGAGCCAGGGCACGGCTCCTGCTCGACGCCCACCCACGGGTAGAAGGGAGTTCCACAGCATCAGTGCGGTGATCCACCAACCCCTGGCTGCTATTGCCTCCACTGCTGGATCAGAGCCAGCAGCCATGTGCAGCGTGGCGGGAGGGGGGGGTGCATCATCCAGCAGTGGATTGACACAAGGGCTGTACACGTACAGAGAGTGCGTGTACACGGCTGTACAGCTGCTTATACAGAATCTGAATATTTATTCATACTGGAGTCATCCGATGAGCAATAAGGCTCTTTTTCCCAGATGTCCAGATGGGGCGGGTCAGAACGTTACCGCAAGAAGCACACGATAGGAGTGCAAAGTATAGGAAAGGCAACAAATCGCTTAAAGATATACAAATAATTACGTTCGTGTAGAGAGACAGAAGCGTAGGGGAGATGCGCTAGCGCGGTGGTGGAGGCACTGCGGTGACGCAGAGCGAGCGGTCTGTGGGTGCTCGCGGTGAGACGGCGGCTCGCGGACGAGACTGGCGAGGGAGTGGCAGCCAGAGGAGGGAGCAGCGGACGTCATCCTGGGCCGGAGCGACGCGCTCATCGGCTCGCGTGCGGGAGCGAGAGTTGTGTTCGACGACTCGAGGGGGGACGGGGGGGAGACCCATGTAGCTGACGATGACTTATCCACCCCCCCCGTCACCTTGAGTCGCCCTTCCCCACAGCTTTTGAATTTACCCAGCACGCATCACTGCGTGTGCACCCGTGTATGCGCTCGTGTGTGCGTGTGTTCACTGCGCCACGAGCCCGGCCAACGTCAGTGGCGAGCGATATCGGAACCTGTCCTAGGCCTTCACAAGGTCGACTCGGCCTTAAACGAGTACCTGGAGCGGTGCGTAAGCAAAAGCACCGGTGGTCCCGGCCACACCACCCGCTCGTACGTCACACCGACCTTAATAGGTGCTCGGTGCTCGCTAACAGCACTTGCCCCAGCAGCCTACATGGGGGATCTTTCCCTTTGCTCACGCGCCAACATTCTGCGTCTCGTCGCCTCGCCCGCTCTGGGCTTGGCAGCTGACGTTGGCCACGCCCCCTGCGTTGATTGGTTAAATGTGCTGGGAATCATGGCACCGCCACCACTGCCGCCACCACTGTCACTACCACGACCACCGCCGCCATCACAACCGCCGCCATCACCACAACCACCACCACTGTCGCCACCACCGCTGCCACCACCACCCTCACCACCACCACCGAACCGTTGACAGTGGCAGCCTTGGGTCGCTCCTAAAATTGCTTGAATCCCAGCTTGGCTGTCGTGCAACAGACGTCCCCGTGTGTCACGGCGTGGGTGACAGGGAGGGTGCCGCCCTCCACTGCGTGTGGAGCAGAGGTCACTTCAAGAGAGCTCGCAAGTAGCTCTCTGATGTCCGATTCCACGGGCCACTTTCCCCTGCCATGCCAAAGATCCGAGTGGATTCTTAATCTCGTAACGCGACGCCGATAGCGCGGTCGGGATAGAATTGTGGAACATTTTTTATGAAATAAATCGCTTGCTCGATTGTTTTTGTGGAGGTGGGGTGTGTGCTGGGTTGACGTTCCAGCCCTTGGTGGTGAGCGCTCTGTGGCACGAGGTTGTGTGAGGCGGTGTGCTGCGTGAGGCGGTGTGACGCGGTGTGAGGCGGTGTGAGGTGGCGCTGCACTCTCTGTGCCCGCACCCGGAGCTCGGGTTTTGGTTTTATTTTCTCACTCTCCTTTTTTCTTTCTCCTTTTTCTCTCCTTGTTATCCCATGTCCTCCTCTGAATCTCCTCCTCCTCTTTTTCTTAACCCCCTTCTGCCGCCTCCCTCTTCCCTCATCGCCGTTGCCATCATGCACCCCTCCCTTGTCTCCCGCTCACCTCCGCATCTCCGTGTACTCCATTGTCCGTCGCCCTCCTTTGGTTCCCTCCCATCTTGCGTCCTTATCCCTCTGTCCTGCTCTCTCGATCATCTTCCCCCATCGCCTCCCTCTGCCTGCCCCTCCTGTCATGCTCCGTGTTCCCGTCTCTCCGTGTCTCCCTCTCCGTCCCCTCGCTGCCCCTCCACGTTCCCCCCCCTACTTCCCTGCCCCCCCCCGTCACGCCTCGACCCCCGACCCCCGACCTGGGCGCCCCGACCCCCCGACCGCGGCCGTTGCGAACCTCCCCCCCGCGCTCGCCCAGTGTTGGAGTTTGAGCTGCGGAAAGCCCACGAGACGATTCACTCGCTGCGCGCCAACCTCACCGAGCAGGCGGCAGGTGCGACGGCAACGCGGCCGGGCGGCAGCACCACGCCCACAAACACCGGGGGGGGGGGTGGGGGGGGGCGCGGTGTGGGGGGGTGTTTGGGGCGGGAAAGGGGGATGAGTTCAACGCAGCGGTTGCATTGGGCGGCAACGCAGCTCAGCTGTGTTAATGCCCGCCAGCGTGGCGTTGATGCTGCCTGCAGCCGCCGGGTTCCCATTTGTCAGAGAAATAACTCCACCTCACTGAATCCAAACTGCCCCGTTTTGATGAGCACGGCCACTGTTGTTGTTATTGCCGAGCCCCGTAAACCCCAAACAAACTTTTCTGCTTGGCGGGCAGCGCTTTTAATCGCTGCCCCGCCACCACCCAGACGCGTCGGGTGGCTTTTGACCCCTGACCGTCGCGGCGGTCACGTCGCTCAGGGGTCAAACCACGGCGCCGTTGTGAGTCGTGGCACGAGCGGTGGCTGCGGTGACCGCGGTGACCGTGGTGGTCGTGGCGACCGCGGCAACCGTGGTGGCGGCGCTGCTGCCCGTCGGATTTCCGCAGCCCGCAGCCCGTCCCACTCGCGCCGTCGTTACCCACCACGGGGCGGTACCGTCGCCGTGTGACTGGCGCCCGTGCGAGTGATCGTGCTACGTGGGTTCGTCGTGCCGCCCCTTTGCTGTCGCCCGGCAGATTCGGAGCTCCCCGCGGCGGAACCGGCAAACTACAGCCGGGAGGCGGCGGTGCAGGTGAGCGGCGACGTGCCGTTCACACGGTCACTCTCGCAAAGGTCGTCCAATGTGAACCTTTAAGGAGGAGGCGGGGGTGGGGAGAGAGAGAGCGGTGGAGTCGGGACAACCTCGGCCTATGACTCTATCTCAAGGGACTGCTGCAGGGGCCTGGCAACCCTCTCGTATTCGCCACGTGCATTGCGGATCTTGACATTTTTAGTTTTTTACCGAATTAGAAAAAAAACGGTTCTTGTTATTTTGGTTGCCGACCCCTGGCCTAGCCATTCACGTGGCCCTGTCAGGGTCTTGGTGGTGAGCTGCCTTGACGAGCTGCCCCCTCCCCCCCCCCCCCCCGCGCTTTGTCCGCCCCCTGGGGCTCAGGAGCCGATTCGGCCGCTGGAGAAGAGGGCGCTCAACTTCCTGGTGAACGAATTTCTGCTGAAGAACAACTGCAAGCTGAGCTCCATCACCTTCTCTGATGAGAACGACGACCAGGTGACGGCTGCATCGTCGTAGTCATCGCCGTTGTTGTCGTCGTCATCATCATTGTCATCATCGTCATTGTCATTTTTGGCATCATCATCGTCATGCCACGGTGCTACGATGGAATGATCCGTCCAGCGCCGGTTACCTGTCCCTTGCGGTGTGCTTGGTGCGGTGTGGTTGGTGCGATGCGGTTGGTGCGGTGCGCTCCACTCCGGTCTCACCTCGTCGCGTTCCTCCCCTCCAGGATTTCGACGACTGGGACGACGTGGGGCTCAACGTGTCCAAGCCAGCCGACCTCCTCTCGCTCTACCGCGAGTGCGTGGCGCGGCACGGCAGCGCCGGCGCCGCCACCGCAGATGCCAGCGTGGGCCCCGCGGAGGAACCTGGCCACACCGACGCCGTGGTGAGGACGCTACGGGGGGTGGGGGGCGGGGGGGGGCGTTGCTGGTGACGTCGACGGCACCGGCAAGAGGACCCCGGGGTAGACCGCACGCTGTGGGCGTCCGCTCGGTTGCCTGGTGGCGACGTGTTTTGTTAAAACATTTCCTGTGTTAGCGAAAGCAAGGAGTCTTGACGGCAGCAGCGGTCGCCACGCACACCGGGGTCCGTGTGCCCCGCGGTCGGTGACGGCGTGCCGCAGCGAGGCCGTTGTGCTGTACCTCCCAGGGTTCCGTGGCGCTCATCAAGGAGCTGCAGGGGAGGATCGGATCCCTGGACCGAGAGAACCAGAGCCTGACGGTGCACATCCGCAAACTCGAGAGGTGAGAGCCGCCACCCGCCATGGACTCCACCCCCCACTGACAATGCCCCCTCCCCGACTCCACCCCCTCCCCCCCCATTGTCCGACCGTTGACGTCTGTGCACTTTGACCCCAGGGACCTGGAGGCCTTGCAGAGCCCCCACGAGTGGAGCCCGGCCCCCAGCCCACGAGGGGCTGTGGGGGATCACAGTGGCGGGGAGGCGGTGGACCCCCGTGATGAGCAGGTAATGGGGCGGGGCAGTGGGCGGGGGGCGGCAGCATCGTTATTAGACCTCATCTTCATCGTCGCCATCATCGTCGGCAGCCATTCGCTATCATCTGCTGGACAACTGCAGTGGTTTAGCCAATGTCCAGTCATTGCTGCCAGTGAAGCCGTTTCTTCCGAGACAAACCGTGCTCGCGGAAGACGACTGCAAGTGTTTTTTGTGCGAGCGAGCGAGCCGGCGTAACGAGAAGCCGCTCCGCACTCGCCGAGGGTCGGCGGCTCGGTATCCCACGCGGACGCAAACGACGCGTCCCCACCCTACGTAGGGGGCCCCACGGTGGCTAGGAGATGTTAACTACCTCGCCAGGTATACAGGCGAGACGCCTGCTGTGTATTTGGAGTTTGCATGTTCTCCTTGTGGTCGCGTGGATTTTTCTCCGGGTCCTCCAGTTTTCCCTCCACGTTTAGAATCGACATCACGTGTTCAGAGTATTTGGCTGCTGTAAATTTCCACGTGATGATTATCCACTGCTCATTGAGCTATCATTTGTGGCCAGGTCACTACTGAAAAAGAGCTGCATAGCTCAGTGGGCCTTACCTGGTCAAATAAACAATAGTTGAGTGTTTATAGCCTAATTTGCATATGTTTTGCAGAATCCGCATTTGTGATTTACCCACACCCCTCGCCTCGTTACCCTGAGAGAGCGTTTTGCTTCGACCTTGAGTCACGAGCTCCACTCTGGAATGCCCTCCCCATCGTCGCTTTATCTCTCCAGGGTTGCGTAGCCTCGCTCAACTCAAGAAATACGTTACACTCTGAGCTCTCGCAACTCTAGGGGTGCTTGTTCTTGGGGTCGTTTGGTAAAGTCACGTAGATAGGTTCAAAGAAAATACCAAAAACTACGACGTTTCGATCGCAACACAAGTGGTCGTCATCAGGAAAAGGGTCCTGATAACGACCACTTGTGTTGCGTTCAAAACTTCGTAGTTTTTTGTTATTTTCTTTGAACCTATCTACGTCACTTTACCGAAAGACCCAAAGAATATTTATTCCTGCAGTCACGAAAGCTGTTTTTGTTGCTGGCCGATTGCGTTTTTTTGGTCCTTCGGGGCCTTTGCTGAGCGGTTGCGTCAAAAAAAAAAGCCACGTGACCGTTGTCATTTTGTTTCCGTGCATGACTCTTGCGGATGAGACTTCCGGTCTCTCGAGTCCTCGCCCGGTTCAACTCCGTGAACGCCCACGCGACCTCCCCCTACTCCCCCACGTGACCTCCCCCCACTCCCCCACGTGACCTCCCCCCACTCCCCACGCCACCTCCCCCCACTCCCCACGCGACCTCCCCCCACTCCCCACGTGACCTCCCCCCGACTCCCCCACGCGTCGTACGTCGCGGAGACGTCGAGTCGCTGACGGTTTAAAATCGTGGCATTCTCAGCCGCCGACCGAGCGACCGGACACCCGTGCCAAGCTCTCGGGGAGGTCGGAGGTCACGGGCAAGGGGTCGGTGGGCGCGACCTCCTCTCAGACGGTCACTCCGGTGGCGGCGGCGGCGGCGAGCGGGCCGGAGGGAGTGGGGGACCGCGGGAACGGGGGGCCGAGGGCGGACCCCCAAGTCGTCTTCGACAAACCCGACCGGTACGATCGCCCCGGCCGGGGCGGCCGCAGCGCCGGATCTCACGACGCGACGGTCGTCGCGAGCGATTGCGCAATCGCGGTCCGCGCATCTCTCGTTTAGTCCGTGTCCTGCTGGACTTCCTGTTCGACCGTTCAACTCCAGTCCATTCGGCATGTAAGCCCTACCATGAGCCTTGTAATCATTACAACCTTACAATGTATAATGCTTATAGCTCACGTGCTGTCCGTCACAGAAAAAACTGAATAATGATCTTATACGAACAAAGAAAATGTTGCCTTTTTACGTGTGCATGTGTGTGCGTGCGTGTGTGTGTGCACACAGTAGGCAGCGGTAGTGTAGCGGTTAGCGCACTGCGCTACGATCCTGGCGACCCGCGTTCGATTCCCGCTCATGGCCAACACCAGTGACGATTAACTAAATTGGTCCTGGGCCTGCCCGAGGTCGATTTGGCATCAAATGAGTACCTGGTCACTAGGGAGACAAAGGCGGCCGGGCATGGTGCTGGCGACCCACCCCCTTGTGTGCCGTGCCGGCCTTCATAGGTGCTCGCTAACAGCACTTGCCCCTACAGTCTGTTAAAGGCTGTATGGGAATCTTTGTGTGCGTGTGTGTGTGCGTCTTCCCAGGAAGCTGCCCCCCGCGTTCCACCAGGCCCTACTGTCCGTGTGCCGCACGGCGCCCGCCTCCCGGCTCAGCTCCGAGGTGGGTCCCTGTGACGGCCGCCCCGCACGGGCAAGACGCTCGCTGCGGAGTCACAGCGCCCCCCTCCGCCCCCACCCCGACAAATCGCGGACTCTTGGGATGAATATCCACACGACGCGACGATCACTGCTCTCGCGGGGTTGTGAGAAGGGTGGCAAGCGGGCTGGTGAGCGGTGCGGTGAGGGGGCTGGTGAGTGGTGCGGTGAGGGGGCTGGTGAGTGGTGCGGTGAGGGGGCTGGTGAGTGGTGCGGTAAGGGGGCTGGTGAGTGGTGCGGTGAGGGGGCTGGTGAGTGGTGTGGTGAGGGGGCTGGTGAGCGGTGTGGCGAGGGTGATGGTGAGCGAGAGTGGTGAGGGGGCTGGTGAGTGGTGTGGTGAGGGGGCTGGTGAGTGGTGTGGTGAGGGGGCTGGTGAGTGGTGTGGTGAGGGGGCTGGTGAGGGGGGTGGTGAGCGGGATGGTGAGGGTGGTGGTGAGGGGGCTGGTGAGTGGTGTGGTGAGGGGGCTGGTGAGGGGGCTGGTGAGCGGGATGGTGAGGGTGGTGGATGTCGCGCTTGCTAGTTAAGACAGTCTCATCGCGGCCATCCTCGCTTTCCTGTGGCATTGCCTTTCGTAGCACCCCTTTCACCCCCACCCTCTCACCCCCACCCCCTCCCCCTCTCACCTCCTCTCACCCCCACCCCCTCCCCCGTGTGCCCCTCCCCCTCTCACCCCCTCCCCCTCTCACCCCCACCCCCTCTCCCTCCCACCCCCTCCCCCGTGTGCCCACACCCCCCCCCCCCTGCAGGTGTCTCAGATCCCTGGGACGGAGCGGGGGGCCCTGCTCATGCTGAGTCGCTGCCTCCCACACATCGTGCCCAACGTGCTGCTCGCCAAGCGCGAGGTGAGCACCTCCCCTTCATCCTCATCCTGTCTCCCCCTCCTCCCCTTCATCCTCGCCCTCCTCATCCTGTCTCCCCCTCCTCCTCCTTGTCCTCGCTGTGTCACCTTCTGATGTTGTGCAAATTCCAGCATCTTCCAAGAAGATGGTGATCGCAATCACCGTCTCTCATCTTCACCGGCATCATTGTCGACGTCGTCATCGTGAGTTCAATATATTCCCTAGCCCCCCACTGGTACCAAGAGGGCAGGGGGCCGGGGCGTATTGGATCGGTGGGCCCTGGAAAATATGAAGCTGGCGATCGTCATCGCCGTGTTCTTGAAATCTCACAGCCGGTACAACCTCGCAGAGCACGAGCGGATCGCCGTACACCGTGAACAGCTGGCGTTGAGGTCACCAGCCCCCCCTCCCCCACGCCGTATTCCCTCCAGTCGGCACGGCCATCAGGAACGCAGCCTCCGTGGTAGCGACGCAACAAACCAAAACTTTAAACAGAGACCGCCGTAAAATAACAAACACGTAAACGGGGTAGACAACGTTTACTCGGAGACGAGGCACCTGGAGTAGGGTGAGGGGGGTGGGCGCGGGGGGGGGGGTGCTCCATGCTCGGTATGCCGCCCCCACTGCGGCCGTCTCTCCACAACCACTCCCCCCACACAAAGACAAAGATCCCCCGTACAGCCTTAGCAGACTGTTGGGGCAAGTGCTGTGAGTAAGTAGCAGCGCACCTAATGAAGGCCGGCACAGCACGCGAAGGCGGTGGGTGGCCAGCACCGCGCCCGGCCGCCTCCACACCGCACCGTGTACTCATTTCAGACCGAGTCGACTTAGGGGAGGCCCAGGACCGCTTCAGATAATCGTCAGTCGTGTTGGTGGCCATGAGTGGGAATCAAACCCGTGTCGCTGGGTTCGTAGTGCAACGCGCTAACCGCTGCGCCGCCGATCCCCACGCAAAAACACACGCGCACACAGTCGCCACCACCGCTACCAGGTGACAAACGTCAAGCAGACCTCCCCATATGTCGTCGTCGTCACCACGGGGTGGCAGCAGCAGCGGCAGCAAGGGCCTGGGTCCGATTCCTGACCCGGACGCCCCTCTGCGTGCAGTTTGTTTCTCCCCCTGTTCCTCCGGGTTCTCCGTCTTCTTGCCGGTGTAATGGAATGTAACTGAAGACCTTCATCCAGCAGTGGATTGACAAACAGATCTCGCGTGTTTATTTTTACTCTCAGGCGACGTTTCCATGTGAGCCGGGCAGCTTCGGGGTCAGAGGTCGTGGAGCCGGCACCGCTCAGAGCCTGGGTTCCAATCCGGGTTTTGGCTCCAACCACAGCGATGTTGTCTCATAGACTCACACTGAGAACCATAGACTCACACAGAGACTCATACGACTACATAGAGACCCATGAACTTGCATAGAGACCCATACATTGATGTACAGACCCATAGACTCACAGAGAGACCAATGGACTCGCATAGAGACCCATAAACTCACAGAGAGACCCACAGGCTCACACAGACTGAATTGTTATGAAACTGGGTTCTCAAGTGGAGTGAGTTGATGTTCTCATCCCGGTCACCAGTGAGTGCACAAAAACATCCGTCACATTGAATTAATCTACGTTGTGTCTTGGTCTCTACCCCCTTCCCCTCGCCCCCACTCTCCCTCCCTCCCTCCCCCCCTCCTCCACTGGGCAGGAGCTGATCCCCCTCATCCTCTGCAGCGCGTTCCTCCACCCCGACCACAAGGAGCGCGATCGCCTCCTCCACATCCTCTTCAACCTCATCAAGAGGCCCGACGAGCAGCAGAGGTGGGGGGGTCCCATGATCACAGCCCCTCCCCCCCACCCCCGTTCATTGAAAATTAACATGGCACGAGAATGTGCACCTTGGGCAGGTATTGAAGATGGGACCCGAGTAGAAATTGATGATGAAAATGGGGCAAGAAGTCCAACGTACATACAGGCGAGCAGAAAACTTTAAATCAGTTCTGCCACACGGATCAGAAAACCGGAACGGAAACCGAAAAGGGTGCAAATGAGCAGAGAGAAGTGAATAGTTTGACACGTCGGCTTGTGATGGTGGGGGGATCAGACCGGGCGAAGGGAACGCACCGCAGGTTTGGGCCGGACACGCCGGTGGAAGGGGTGACGGACGATGGTCGAGGATAGCGATGGATTGACACCCAGTGGGTGGGAACCCAGCCGAGATGATGGCCACCGAACGAGATGGAGCGATGAAATCGGCTCGTGTTCCGGTGAGGTGACTCTGAAGTTCGTGGTGCGTCTACCGGTCACCTCAGTCAGTCAACCCATGGCACCTGTCCCAGGACCTTCTGCCAGCGAGGCTTCGACACTCCACCTGGCCTCAAAGTGCCTGGCCTGGCACAGGTCCCGTGGTGACACCACCGCCACTTAGTGGCGAATGGCGGCTGTTGTTGTTGAAGATCATCAGAGGTGACGACGGATTGAGGAGGCCTTCATCCAGCAGTAGGTTGATCATGGCCGATGCTGACGATGGTGAATATTTGTTGATTTTCGCTTTGACCCCCTGACCTGTTGTGGGCCGGCTGTCCGCCAGGCGGATGATCCTGACGGGCTGCCTGGCGTTTGCGGTGCACGCCGGCCCCACCAGGGTGGAGTCTGAGCTGCTGCCACAGTGCTGGGAGCAGGCGAGCATCGCACCGTACACTCACCACTCACAAACCACACACTCACCACACACTCACACACCACACACCACTCACTCACCACACACAAACCACACACTCACACACCACACACCACACACTCACCATTCACTCACCACACACTCACCACTCACACACCACACAATCACCACTCACTGTACACTCACCACTTACAGGCTAAGCGGGGGATCTTTGCGTGTGTGTGTGTGCATGCGTGTGTGTGTGCGCGCGTGTACCAGATTAACCACAAGTACCCGGAGCGGCGTCTGCTGGTGGCGGAGGCGTGCGGCGCGCTGGCCCCCTACCTCCCGGTGAGCACCTCACGGCCCCCCCTGCCCTGCCCCCCATGGTCACATGACCACGTGCATCCAATTGCCCAGCGAGCGGTACCCGTCCTTCCACGGGAACCGTTCATCGCGTGGAGTCGTCAATGTCTCCCGAGCGATACTCTCGAGGTTGAGAGCGTTAATGCGCTGTCTGCATACGTCCGCCTGTAGCGGAGGCTCACGATAACTCTGATCCAATATAAGTTCTTTATAAAGTTCAGTAGCTATTCGGGAACGACCCTATCGAGTTTTAATGATGATGGTTAACGCTATGCCCCCCCCCACCCCCCCCCGTGTGTGCGTAGCGAGTTATCCGCAGCTCGCTGGTGCTGTCCATGCTGCAGCAGATGCTGATGGACGACAAGACGGACGTGGTGCGGGAGGCGGTGATCAAGAGCCTCGGCGTGCTCATGGGCTACATGGACGACCCCGACAAGTACCCACAGGTCCCCCAGCCCGTCAGTTCCGTCTGTGTCTGACCCGTCCATCAGTCTGCGTGTCTGTGCATCCATGTGTTGTTTATCCATCCGTCTGTCTGTGTATCTGCCCATCAGTCTGTGTGTCTGTTCGTCCATCCCTCTGTGCGTCCGTAATGTGGAGGAACGGTAACTCTCGTGAAGATGATCCAGCGGTCGTGACCTCAACCGCGCTGTCAATCATCCGCCTCGTCCCCTCCCCCCTTTTCCCCCTTTCCCCCCTCCTCCCCCCTCCTCCCTCCTGCTCCCCTCCCCGGTGGCGCCGATCTCCAGGGCTTCGAGCTGCTGATGATGGCGCTGGGCGACCCGGCGGAGCGCGTGGTGTCCGCCACGCACCAGGTCTTCCTGCCGGCGTTCGCGGCGTGGGCCATGGAGCTGGGAGAGCTGGAGCCGCACCTCCTCCACACACTGCTCAGCCGGATCGAGACGCTGGTGAGGGTGCGTTGGGCCCCGCCCCCCACCTCCTCACCCAGCCCCCCACACCCCCCACCCAGCTCCCCACACCCCCGCCCCCCTCTAAAATTCACTGCCCCCACATACGACGATACATCTAATCCCTCCCTCCCCCTCTCCTCACCTCTCCTCCCCTCTCCTCTCCTCCCTTCTCTCCCAAATCACGATTGAATCTTGTAACCTTAAGAAACGTCTCAGTCACACGTCGACCCCTAACCCCGTGCTTCCGGTGACCCTTGACCCCTGACCCCCGATGCAGGAGGCCGAGTACGGTCTGGACGAGCGGCGCCTGCACCTCTACCTCACGGCGCTGCAGTCGCTCATCCCGCCGCTCTTTGCCCACGCGCTCGTCCACTCGCCCTTCGCCGAGACGGCGAGACAGGGCCCCGCCACCTCGCCCATTGAGGGTAACCAGCCGTGGGGGGGGGGGGGGCGGGTGTGGGGGGGAGGCGGGCGTGGGGGGGGGGACGGGGGGGGTAGCTGCCGGTTCTGGCAGCAATGAGGAACGGACTTGGGGTTCGTGCTGTGACGCGTCCAGGCTGACGCGACTCTGTGTGTGCTTGTCTGGCTGTCTGTGTGTCTCGAACCTGGCGACCCAAGTTCAATTCTCACTCACGTCCAACAACAGTAGTGAAAATCTGAACTGGTCCTAGGCCTCGCCTAGGTCTCCTCAGGCTTAAATGAGTGCTGTACCTGGTACGGTGTGCAAACATCACCACTGGGGGGACAAAGGCGGCCGGGCGTGGTTTCCGACCATGTTGCTTTGATAGATGCTCGCAAACAGCACTTGCCCCAACAGCCCGTGTAGGCTCCACAGGCCTAAATGAGTACCTGAAGCATCGGAGAGACAAAGGCGGCCGGGCGTAATGTTGGCCACCCACCCCCTAGTGTGCCTTGCTGGCCTTCATAGGTGCTACTCGCTAATAGCACTATGAGGGATCTTTGTCTGTGTGCGTCTGTGTCTGTGTGCGTCTGTGTCTGTGTGTGTCTGTGTTGTTCTGGGCGCATCGCGGGGGGCAGTGACGCGCTTCCCGCGCCCGGCGTCGCTGCTGCAGGACGTGGCGACGCTGGTGGGGAGCCGCGAGCTGCTGGCGTCGCTGCTGTGCCACTACGAGCAGCAGCTGCAGCAAGGTGGCACCACGGGCTGGGCCAGCCTGCTCTGGGTGGTCAACCAGCTGTGAGCGTCTACTCCACATTACCACAGCACGCACACAGCCAGCGCCGTCACATCCACGACAATAACCCTCTCCTAACCATTACAGCATCACTTGCCACCAACGCTCACCAGCCGTGAGTGTGCATCACTGCATTACAACAACAACAACAACCGCCATTCGCCGCTAAGTGGCGGTGACGTCACCACGACGCTTGTGCCAGGCTATGTGCACATTGAGGCCACGTGAAGTGTCGAACGCCCGCTGGCAGGAGGTCACGGTGCAGACCCAGGTGCCACGGGCCGACTGACTTAGATGACCGAGATGAGTGGCTGATGCACCACTTGTGCCCCCTACTGTATCAACTTGCCGTGCTTTAGCCATCTGGCGCTCTGATCGTTGTTGTGAGCGTCGCTCCTCCGCCCTCCGTTGTTGTTGGAGGGCGACTGCCTCCTGCCCAGTAGCATCCTTCACGAGCCTCCTCCACAGAGGCCGATCTTGACACTGCTGGTACCAGTCATTGGCAAGTCCACTCAGCTCCACATCCTCTTGTACCACATCACTCCATCTTTTCTCCGGCCCGTGCTATGCCAGTTTAGCCCCCTCGATCCGTCCGAACAAAAGCTATTTAGGCATGTGGTGGCTGGGCTACAGGACCCAGCCAACGCATCCTTGCCTGCCGGAGGAGCTCACCGATGGGACTTTGTCCAGATCTTTCAAAGATTTGTGAGCTCCTCACACAATCCAGCCTGGTTAAACCCAGGATGGATTGTAGGCAGACCAGCCTAAATGTTTGAAACCAGCGAGGATGTTCCATTAGGGGGGTCCACGTTTCGCAAGTGTAGAGAAGGGAGGGAATGACCGTGGCCGAGAAGACCTGAAGCTTCGTGCGGAGCGACAGACCAGGTAGCTTCCACACAGCGTCACGCAACCGATGAAAAGATAATGCCGCTCGACTATTCGGAGTGAGACCTCTGCTGTTAAACCAGAGCCGGTCATGAGCACACTGCCCAGGTATAGGAAACTCTCCACTCTCTCCACAACTGCCCCATCACCAATTGGGAGTTGTGGGGGTGGAGTGTCCGATGGTACAAAATACCCAGGCAGGTGCTTAGTTTTGCATTACAGTATCACTCACCACCAATGCTCTCCAACCGTGAGTGTCTCTTATCACCGCACAACACTTTAAGATACCGCTGTGTAGCTTTTCGCCGACCGCCCTGATCTTGTCCGTTGGCGCAGGCTGCCGCGGCTCATCACCATGATGGGAAAGATCTCGGTGACGTCGGCCGTGAGCGTGCACGAGTTCTCGCGCTTCTTCTGGCGCCTTTGCCGCACGTTCGGCCGCACGTTCACCAACACCAAGGTGAAGCCGCAGTTCCAGGAGCTGCTGCGCCTCTCCGAGGAGCACGTGGGTACGGACGCTTGCACACTCGCCAGGTGCATTGTGGGTAAAGGCGGCTCCTCACCAGGTGCATTATGGGTACGGACGCTCGCTGTCCAGGTGCATTGTGGGTACAGACAATCGCTCGCCAGGTGCATTGTGGGTACAGACGGTCGCTCGCCAAGTGTATTGTTGGTACAAGACGGTTGCTCGCCACGTGCATTGTGGGTAGACGGTCTGCCCTTCAGGTGTGATGTGGGTTCTAACGCTCGCTTGCCAGGTGCATTGTGGGTAAAGAGGCTCATTCGCCAGATGCATTGTGGGTACTGACGGTCGCTCATACGCGGCAGTGTATGTGTGTGCAGCGTTGCAATTCATGATGCGGACGGGGTGGTGCAGTGATTGTCTGTGGCGGCCTTCATCCAGCGGTGGATTGTTCATTGCTGATGACGATGCTGCTCACGATGATGACAACGATGATGATGATGAAGTCCTCATTTGGCTTCGTGGTCTCTGCGTTTGTCTTCAGAGTCGTTCCCCAACATGGAGGACCCCATCCTCACCAAGGCTACGGTGCCCATCTACGCCACGGGGGTCCTCACCTGCTACAACCAGGTTGGGGTGCGGTCGGGTCACCAGTCGGGGTCACCAGTCGGGGTCACCAGTCGGGGTCGGGTCACCAGTCGGGGTCACCAGTCGGGGTCACCAGTCGGGGTCACCAGTCAGGGTCAGGTCACCCAGTCGGGGTCGGGTCACCTGTCGGGGGTTGGGTCGCTAGTCGGGGTCGGGTCACTAGTTGGGGTAAGGTCAAGGGTGGGTCACAGTCGTGATCAACCCATGGTTAGGGTGGTGTTTGGGGTCGAGTTGTGGGTTAGGGGTTATCTGTTTTTACATATCTTACCGATAAAAGTAATTTTAGTCTGTCTGCGTGCCTGTCTGCGCGGTGCCACGTGACGTTTTTAACTGACAAACTGTGGGGTTTACGTATCGAAAAAGTACACGGATACCACGCCGTATGCCCCGGGACAAAAAAGCGCTGTTCGTGTTTCACATCTGTCAACTTTAAAGCAGTTCAATTAACAACGCATTCCCTTTTATAAGCACAGGGTGGCGCTAGAGCACGCATCTGCGCATGCGCGAGAAAGCCAGCTCCGTGGTGGTTGTCCAGCAACGCACACACGCGATCGGTGGGGGGAATTCTCATTCGCGTAAAAAATTCAAAAACAAAAAACAACGCTGAGGTAAATTCTTCACAGTGTGATGTCCTCTTCTCCCCAATGTGTGCACTTAAGATTCCTACATGTTGAATGTATGCACCTTCCTGCCACAGTAAATTCCTTGTCTGTGCGAACTTTCATGGCGAATAAAACCCTTTCTGATTCTTACAACTATAGGGTCGGTAGATACTACTATTATCGTCCTTAGATAATATTATTGTCGAGCGGGCGGGGGGGTAGCAGCCCAGCCTGCAAAGGTGCTACCTCGGCCGGCTGGGCAATCTAGGCGAGGCCGGGGACTTTGCACGGGACTAGGCCTCACCACTACACTCAGTGAAGATAGTACTATTATAGAGTCGATATATACTATTATAGAGTCGGTATATATGACTGTAGAGTAGGTAGTAAAATATTTTTTGAGGGGGGTGAGGTCGACAATTTTTGGAAACCTTTTAGATCAACTATTTACCCCCCACTTTCTATAGCTTTTTGTTGTGTTTTTAAGAGAAGTTTTGAAATATATTTTTTCCCCGTGCAACGCCGGGTACTTCCCGCGAGTAGACTATGATCACTCACAACATCGCCTTGTCCAGTAAGTAGCTTTTATTGCTCGCCAGTGGATTAAGCTGATGGAAAAGTTAATCGTGAAATTTTGTAGAGATGGGATACAAAACAAACTCCTTGTTTCTGCCTTCCCCTCGTCACCCGTCTCTGCGGACAGGAAGAAGACCGCAAGCTGCTGACGGGTTTCCTGCAGGACGTGCTCACCACGCTGTCACTCACCTCCTCCCCGCTCGACAGCCTCAAAGCAGCATTCCTCGAGCTGGGGTGAGTGAGTGGGCAGGCTCGTGAGTGGGTGAGTGAGTGGGTAGGCTAGTGAGTGGGTGAGTGAGTGGGTGGGCTAGTGAGTGGGTGAGTGAGTGGGCGGGCTCGTGAGTGGGTGAGTGAGTGGGCGGGCTAGTGAGTGGGTGAGTGAGTGGGTGGGCTAGTGAGTGGGTGAGTGAGTGGGTGGGCTAGTGAGTGGGTGAGTGAGTGGGCGGGCTCGTGAGTGGGTGAGTGAGTGGGCGGGCTAGTGAGTGGGTGAGTGAGTGGGCAGGCTCGTGAGTGGGTGAGTGAGTGGGCGGGCTCGTGAGTGGGTGAGTGAGTGGGTAGGCTCGTGAGTGGGTGAGTGAGTGGGTGGGCTCGTGAGTGGGTGAGTGAGTGGGCAGGCTCGTGAGTGGGTGAGTGAGTGGGCGGGCTAGTGAGTGGGTGAGTGAGTGGGTAGGCTAGTGAGTGGGTGAGTGAGTGGGCAGGCTCGTGAGTGGGTGAGTGAGTGGGTGGGCTAGTGAGTGGGTGAGTGAGTGGGTAGGCTAGTGAGTGGGTGAGTGAGTGGGCAGGCTCGTGAGTGGGTGAGTGAGTGGGTGGGCTAGTGAGTGGGTGAGTGAGTGGGTAGGCTAGTGAGTGGGTGAGTGAGTGGGCAGGCTCGTGAGTGGGTGAGTGAGTGGGTGGGCTAGTGAGTGGGTGAGTGAGTGGGTAGGCTAGTGAGTGGGTGAGTGAGTGGGTAGGCTCGTGAGTGGGTGAGTGAGTGGGCGGGCTCGTGAGTGGATGAGTGAGTGGGCGGGCTTGTGAGTGGGTGAGTGAGTGGGTAGGCTCGTGAGTTGGTGAGTGAGTGGGTGAGTGAGTGGGTGAGTGAGTGAGTGGGTGAGTGAGTGGGTGAGTGAGTGGGCGGGCTCGTGAGTGGGTGAGTGAGTGGGTAGGCTCGTGAGTGGGTGAGTGAGTGGGTGAGTGAGTGGGTGAGTGAGTGGGTGAGTGAGTGGGTGAGTGAGTGGGCGGGCTCGTGAGTGGGTGAGTGAGTGGGTAGGCTCGTGAGTGGGTGAGTGAGTGGGCGGGCTAGTGAGTGGGTGAGTGAGTGGGTAGGCTAGTGAGTGGGTGAGTGAGTGGGCGGGCTAGTGAGTGGGTGAGTGAGTGGGCGGGCTCGTGAGTGGGTGAGTGAGTGGGCGGGCTCGTGAGTGGGTGAGTGAGTGGGTAGGCTCGTGAGTGGGTGAGTGAGTGGGTGAGTGAGTGGGTGAGTGAGTGGGTGAATGAGTGGGTGAGTGAGTGGGTGAGTGAGTGGGTGAGTGAATGGGCGGGCTCGTGAGTGGGTGAGTGAGTGGGTAGGCTCGTGAGTGGGTGAGTGAGTGGGCGGGCTCGTGAGTGGGTGAGTGAGTGGGCGGGCTCGTGAGTGGGTGAGTGAGTGGGCGGGCTCGTGAGTGGGTGAGTGAGTGGGTGAGTGAGTGGGCGGGCTCGTGAGTGGGTGAGTGAGTGGGCGGGCTAGTGAGTGGGTGAGTGAGTGGGCGGGCTAGTGAGTGGGTGAGTGAGTGGGCGGGCTCGTGAGTGGGTGAGTGAGTGGGCGGGCTCGTGAGTGGGTGAGTGAGTGGGTGAGTGAGTGGGTGAGTGAGTGGGCGGGCTCGTGAGTGGGTGAGTGAGTGGGTGAGTGAGTGGGCGGGCTCGTGAGTGGGTGAGTGAGTGGGCGGGCTCGTGAGTGGGTGAGTGAGTGGGTGAGTGAGTGGGCGGGCTCGTGAGTGGGTGAGTGAGTGGGCGGGCTCGTGAGTGGGTGAGTGAGTGGGCGGGCTCGTGAGTGGGTGAGTGAGTGGGCGGGCTAGTGAGTGGGTGAGTGAGTGGGCGGGCTAGTGAGTGGGTGAGTGAGTGGGCGGGCTCGTGAGTGGGTGAGTGAGTGGGCGGGCTCGTGAGTGGGTGAGTGAGTGGGCGGGCTCGTGAGTGGGTGAGTGAGTGGGTAGGCTCGTGAGTGGGTTAGTGAGTGGGCAGGCTCGTGAGTGGGTGAGTGAGTGGGCGGGCTAGTGAGTGGGTGAGTGAGTGGGTAGGCTCGTGAGTGGGTGAGTGAGTGGGCAGGCTCGTGAGTGGGTGAGTGAGTGGGCGGGCTAGTGAGTGGGTGAGTGAGTGGGTGGGCTAGTGAGTGGGTGAGTGAGTGGGTGGGCTAGTGAGTGGGTGAGTGAGTGGGTGAGTGAGTGAGTGAGTGGGCGGGCTAGTGAGTGGGTGAGTGAGTGGGTGGGCTAGTAGGTGAGTGGGTGGGTGAGTGAGTGAGTGGGTGGTTAGGTGAGCTGACGCTCACATGACAGACGACAGAGAAGGCAGGACCTGGACCTTCCAGCAGAGCCCCAATCACGAACCTCAACATTGACCCTAACCCATGACATTAGGGCCTTATTTAAAAAGCTTAACAGTTGGGCAGCTTATAGCTCCACCTCTGCCCTTATCCTAACCCCAACTCGAACCCTGAGCCTAACCCTGCCCCGTGACCCCTGCCCCTGTGACCCCTGCCTGCGACCCCGCAGGGCGAACCCCGTGTATCACGAGTCTCTACTCACGGTGCTGTGGTACGGCGTGGTGCACACCTCGGCACACGTGCGCCGCACCTCCGCCAGCATGTTCGAGGTGACCGCGCGCACACGAGGACACACGCGGGCAGACGCGCGCAAACAAAAAAAACAAAGACAAAGATCTCATGTATAGCCTTAACAAACAGTTGGGGAAAGTGCTGTTAGCGAGCACCTATGAAGGCCGACACAGCACACGAGGGGGTGGGTGGCCAGCACCACGCCCAACAGCCTTTGTCTCCCTACACACACGGAGACACAGAGACACACCCGGTTTACGAGCCTTCGTAGGTGCTCCCGAACAGCACTTGCCCCGACATCTTGCATGGGCTACATGGGGGATCTTTGTCTTTTGTGTTGGGATGATGTGGGTTGTTGGCGTCGCAGTGGTTTGTATACCGTGCCACCACCTCAGCAACCCAGGTTCAATTCCGAGTCTCTCTCTCTCTGTGCGTGTGGCCGCACGTGGCGCCCAGCTGCTGGTGAAGGGAGTGAACGAAACGCTCGTGGCCCAGCGAGTGGTGCCGGCGCTCATCACGCTCGCCAGCGACCCCGAGATGTGAGTCCGCGCCGGCGCCCCCGCATGCCGCCGGGAGTGGCCGGCACAGTTCCTGCCGTGTCGTAATGGCCGTGTCCCGGTCATCCTTCCCCACCCCCTGCCCCGTGATTGTGTCTACGGTTCGAATTGCACGCACCGCGTCGGGTCGCCGCGCCGTGAGCGACACGCGGCCACGGTGGCGACGCCGAATCACCAGACTTGACCCTCCCTGTTGTTGTGCTTGCCGGGCGCAGCTCGGTGCGAATCGCCACGGTCCCGGCGTTCGGCACCATCATGGAGTCCGTGACGCAGAAGGAGGTGAGCCGGTTTGCTCCTACACTTTGCCTTCAGTACGAGTTGCATCTCTGGCTCTTCATGAGTTTTGTTTCATACGTGTGTGTGTCTGCGTGTCTGCGTGCGTATGTGTGGGGTGGCGGTGACGCAGCGGTTAGCACGCAACCTCAATCAATCAATCTTTGATTGAACCCGAGTTTGATTTCCACTCACGGCCAACACCGGTGATGCTTATCTGAACCGGTCCAGGGCCTCTCCTCGGTTGACTCAGCCTCAAATGAGTACCTGGTGCGGTGCGTAAAAACATCGCCACTAGGGAGACAAAGGTGGCCGGGCGTGATGCTGTCCGCCAACCCCCCTCGTGTGCCATGGCCAGCCTTCATAGCTGCTCGCTAACAGCACTTGCCCCAACAGTCTGATGAAGGCTATACGGGGGATCTTTGTCTTTGTGTGAGCCAGCTGCTGGAGCGGGTCAAGATGCAGCTGTCGTCGTTCCTGGAGGACGCGCAGTACCGCGACGCGCACGCGCTGCACACCGAGATCGTGCACTCGTTCGGCCGCGTCGGCCCCAACGCCGAGCCCAAGTTCCGCGACGAGTGTGAGCACCGGCGATCAAGCGGCACGTACACACGCGGCACGTACACACGTGGCACGTACACACGCGGCACGTACACACGCGGCACGTCAACACACACGGCACATTACTGGTTCTCGATGATCGACTACTGATTCTCGCTGATCGATTACTGATTCTCGCTGATCGATTACTGATTCTCGCTGATCTATTACTGATTCTCGCTGATCGATTACTGATTCTAGCTGATCTATTACTGATTCTCGCTGATCGATTATGTGTAATGATGTCAGGTCTCAGATCCAAATCTCACCGCAGGATTTTTCCAGCCTATAGCTTGGACAACATTTGATGCACACTTGATATCGGTGTGTGACTCGAGTCTCCACTTATCTTCTCACACGTCTAGGCTTATCACAGTATTATATGATAATTCCTTCGCACACCTCTTAGCTTATCACAACTCTTAGCTTAGTACAGTACAACTTCTCGAAGTCCTTGAGTCTGCAATTGACTCAAGATATAATGACAAACGTGAAATAAAACTTTCACCCATACTTAGTCTGCCTTAGCATGAACTCACTCTGTTGCCAGTCACCAGGGCTAATCCCAGAATCTGCCAATGCAGGATTGACTAATATGATCTTTGTATACTGTCATGTAGGAATTCCTATCTTGTGTAATTAATAAAAATCCCAAAGCTCCTTCCTCCCACCTTTGCACCGGTGGTGCATCCACCAGGTCGGCCTCAGTTCATCCCTGGTTCTGGCCCCGCAGATATCCTGGCACCTGATGTCATAACCCATATCATACTCCCTCCGAAGGTCATCCCAAGATTTGTGTGAACACAGACCCACTTGATTGGCCCTAGATGTGGCGTGTGTGTCTGTAGCCACGTGATTCATTATGAAGCAGCCTTCTCCTCCCTAGCATGACTCCCTCCGCCTGGGTGTTCTCATCATGCCCATCTCATCGAGGTCTCTTGTGTTCTGTTTCCCTGCTTCCCATTCTGGTGCTGTTTGGCTTTGTCATCTGGGGTTTCCCACTTTCGGCATGCAGGGAACGCATATGTATGTCGACCAGGAACTGTGACATTCAAAAGAGGCAATATCACTCTTAATATTCATTTTTGGAAAAGGCATATATATATATACAACACACCGATGAAGGCCGGCACGGCACACGAGGGGGTGGGTGGCCAACACCACGTCCGGTGGTGATGTTTACACCAGATACTCATTTGATGCTGATTCGACCTAAAGAAGGCCCATGACCAGTTCAGATAATCGTCACTGGTGTCGGTGGTCGTGAGCGAGACTCAAACTAGGTTCGCCGGGTTCGTAGCGCAGCGTAGCGCTAACCGCTACACTACCCACGTGGCACACACCACGCAAAGCGCCTCGTCCACACACGCCACATTTGGCTCGCACAGCACACGGACAACACCGTCCACAAGCTCCCGGCCACTTGATTTCGATTTCGGACCATGGGCAACATCAGTGGCAAGAGATATCTGAACAGATCCTGGGCCTCTGCCCGGTCAACCGAGCTTTTTGAATGAGCGCCTGGTGCGGCGTGCACACATCAGCGGCGGGGCAGTCGGCCGGGCATGGGTGCCGGCTGAGGTGCTCGCCCCGCGGCCCTTGTCCCGACGGCCTGTACGGTTACGCAGGTGGCCTTTGTCTTTGTGTCTCTCTGGGCAGTCGTGATCCCGCACCTGCACAAGCTCGCGGCCGCCAACAATCACCAGCACAACGAGGGCAAGCGCATGGGCATGGCGCTGCAGCTCTTCGAGGCGTACTCCGCCCTCTCCTGCTGCTGTATCCTTACGCGGCGATGTGCTGCCGCCCACCCCACCTTCTGCCCGCTCCAAAAAAATAATCCCTTTTCTTTTGTGGATTCATGGCTTGACTGATGTTGACTGGCAGATGCATCACCTGTTCCAGCTCAAAGACACACTCAGTCACACACTCTGCAGCACAGGAGGTGGACATACAAACTCCAAGCACAAAGGTGGCAGAGCCGGCAAGGAACCCAGGTCCTTCTTGCTGCGAGGTGCAGGTGTTACCACTGCGCCGTGCTGCTTCCCTGGTGGCTGTGGGTGGCTTGCGTGCATATGCGCGTGTGTGCCCGCGTGCGCGCGTGTGTGTGCGTGTGTGTGGTGTGCGTGCGTGTATGTGCGTGTGTGTGCGTGAGTGGAGCGGCCGCGTGAGCCGTGATCCTTGACAAACGACCGCAGTCATCTCTGACGAGCTCATGACGACGCACTTCCTGCCGGGGTTGCGCTGCCTCCGTTGCGACCTCGAGTTCCTCTCCCCGGAGCACGAGGTACGTGGCGACCCCGCGGGGCAATGGACCCACCGCGCTCTGCTCGGCAAAGCTACTGCTAGCGCCGGCTTAAAGAGTCGTAATTCATTAAGCCAACTGGCAGGGGACGCTGCAGGGGTAATTGAAATTAATTACGCACGCACAGTAATTGCGTGGTAATTCCATCCCTTGATAATTATCAGAAGGAAATAGCATGGAGGAACGTTACTAAAGATGCACCTGATCTTGCACGGTTTGCAGAATTGAAATCGTGCTTGAATTAATAAATTGACCAATCAGCTCTTTCACTTAGCCCCCTTGCGAACAGCACTTGCCCCAGCAGTGTGTGTGGCTACGCGGGGGATCTTTGTACTTGTGCGCGCACAACAGGTGATCGTGGCGACGATGATTCGCGAGTGGGAGCTGAAGCTGGAGGCGAAGAGCAGCGCGGACGCGAGGTGAGGGCCCCAAACAGCGCGGTCGGCGCAGTGCCGTGCGGATTTACTCAGCGTCTTCCTATGGTTGCATCAGTGTTTACACTGGATTTTATCGTCGGTTTTTTTTTACTCGCAGCACTTTGAGACACCTCAATACGAAAGGCGGTCTATAGCACAAGTGACATGTTTATCATTTGCGGTGGTTATTTTTCAAATTTGGCAAATTTGGACCCTGACGGTGGCACACGATGGCCGACTCTGTATGAATGACATCTCAGGGTCGTCAGCATCCGCCGTGGAGCAGACGGGGAGGGTATTGTTTAGCAGGTAACACGCTCACGCTAATAACCAGAGCGGCATGCCGGATTCAATCCGTGAACCTCTGCAATCAATGGAGAACGCGCTACCGCATGAAACTATGACGCTCCTTTATGGGTGAATTTTTTTGTTTTTTACGTCAGGAAAATAAATATGTTAAGGTATAGAATGATAACAATAATTAAATTTTTTTATAGCGTCATCCATGTCAATTGCATCCCACACCACCGTACATTAATTATATCTAAGGAGGAAAGAGAATCACGTAATGAGGATGTTTGTCAAACGGACGATGCCATTATTGTGGAGCCTCTTATCGTCGGCATGAAGTACCCCCGAGTGGGGCTCTCCATAGCTCCCTCTAGCAGAGGCCTTTCCACCAGCAGTGGCATAAGCAAGCACTTGCAGAGCTGCACCTTTGCTTCTTCACATCGTATGATACGCCGTAGCATCGCCACGTCGCGGCAACCATAATCCTCATCGACGTCGTCATCCTCCACACCTCATCGTCAAACACCACCCGTCGTCATCGCCGCCACGCCGCGCGGTTCGCGACAACGTTGCTGCCACGTCCTGTGGCTGACGCCTTTCCCCGCCGCGGCAGCGGCCTCTCGTTTCCGGCCGCACTGGGCTCGGCGGAAGACGCCAAGACCAAGTTCCTGAGCAAGGTCGGGCAGCTGACGACCTCCAGCGTCATGCTGGCCAACGTCTTCCAGCGCAAGAAGTGACCCCGCCCCCCCCTCCTGCGGGGCCACGCCCACTTCCTGCGCTCAGCTCCCCCCCCCCCCACAAGCCGGGCCACACCAGCCCCCCGGTAGCCGAGTCTTCTCCTGCTCGTGCCGGAGTGTGCGATGGTGGTGCTTGTGGTGTGGGGCAGTATTACTGGTGGTGATGGCGTGCGAGCGAGTGGTGTGCTGCTGTACGGGCACTGGTTGTGGTGTGTCTGGGTGTTGTGGTGTGTGGCTGTTGTGGTACGTGGGTTAAATCGGCGTGGTGGCGGTGGTGCCGGCAGTGCCAGGATGAGAGTTACGGTCGTGTGTGGTGGGGCAGGACTTGGAGTGGTGGCGGGGAAATAGACAGTGCTGTTTGCTGTGGCGAGATGTTTTCTACCTCGCCTGTTATACAGGCGGTCGTGGGTTCCATCCCGACCCTGAACGCTTATGTATTGGAAGTTTGCATGCTATCCCCGTGGTCGCGTGGATTTTTCTCCGGCTTCTCCGGTTTTTCCCTCCACATTTAGAAACATGGCCAGGCCGCTTCTGAAAAAAAGCTCTTTAGCTCAGTCGGCCTTACCTAGTAAAATAAAAATGGTTAGTAGCTGTCAGTTCCATTTGGCACCTGCGGTGGGGCATGGAAGTGATCCGAGTCTGGGTGTCGACGTTATGACGATGCTGGCTATGACTGTTGTGCTGTGCGGCTCTTCGGCTGTTGATCGGCGTGGTACAACCTGGACACGGCCCAGGGAGCGGAACGCTTTTGTCTTTCCGTCCGCGTATCCGTCCGTCACCGGCGCGGTGAGACCGGCGCACCGCGAGCGGCAAATACGCAGCGGGCAGCACCGTAGCCCCCCGCTTGGGGGGTCTCGGCCACCTTCCCCCCCGGGCCACGGGCGTACAGGCCCCCCCACACCTACACATTATTTATTGGAGCTCGTGTGCAATCATAATGGTACGCCGGTTTATCGCTTATTTATTATTTATTCGGTTGGATTGTTGTTTATTTTTTTGCTTTCGGATCCCCCCCCCCCACCACCCTGTGGTGTCACGAGATGAAAGAAGCAGCCGGAGAGCTCGTGGAGCAGTGCAGCGCCGTCGCGTTGTAGAACGGCTCCACACAAGCGGGTGTCACGGAGCTACCGCCCGAGGCCCCATTCAGTTGGTCTCTGCTCCCCACACCGTCGCGTGCGACACTTTCTCATTCGCCCTGCCACACGCCGTCATATTCGTCGCATGACAGGCAACCTGATATTTCAATTCTCACGGCTGCAAGTCAGCCAAATGAAGTGCCGGTCCAAATTCAACTTGTTGGGGTCTTGGTCAAGTGAAGAGGCTGTCACGGCTAACGTCAGCGATGCGAGCACCACCTCGCCATCGCTTCCTTCCTTCTGCCAGATGCCTCGGCTATTGCACAGGCGACGCTCAACATCCACAGTCTGCCCGTCTGGTCTCTCCCCCACCGCCTGCAACGTCTGGGTTCCTGTGGGTTTCTGGTGGGCTAGTGTGGGTTTTTTTGGGTTGCTGTGGGTTTGTTTGGGTTGTTGTGGGTCCCTGTGGGTTTGAGTGGGTTGTTGTGGGTCCCTGTGGGTTTTAGTGGGTTCCTGTGTGTTTGTTTGGGTTGCTGTGGGTTCCTAGTGGGGTAGTGTGTGTTTGTTTGGGTTGCTGTGGGTTCGTGTGGGTTTGTGTGAGTTTGTTTGAGTTGCTGTGGGTTGCTGTGGGTTCGTTTGGGTTTGGGATTCTTTTGAGTTCGTGTGGGTCCGTTTGGGTTTCGTGTCATCGTCATGAAGGCGAATGGAAGATGGCACTGTTAGAATTGTGCATTAATATCACTTATGGCTGCCATTGTAATGAATATTTGTGAAACTGAATGCCAATAATCCAACATCAGCTTGGGGATATTTTACAGCACAATGCACCTGCATGCCAAGGTGCGGTACAGCGGCAGTGGGCACGTCTGCTTTGTAATGCGACACAAGGCATCCTGTTATCGGCAGAGGACGAAAGAGAGGAGTTTAGCTTGGACAGGGGCTGGCAGTCCGCTATTCAAATGGCTGGGGGAAGGCATTTAAATCGGACCGATTTGGCAATGTCCACGTCTGCATTGAGACGCAATCTCCGCTCAAAGCGAAACGGCCGCTCCCGCACTCGTCCCACCGAGTTCACGAAAGCCAAGCGACGGTACGCGTGCTGCACATATGTGTACGTGTGTGCGTTGAACTTCTTTCGCGCTATACGTAGCCAGTCGTGCTACTCGAAGGTGCGGGGGAAGGACAACAACCTAAACACAAAAAGCATTTAAAAAGAAATGAGTTCACATTCGAGATGATTTAAAAGTGCATAGCTCACAGTGGCGCCATAATATCAAAAGGAAGAACGTTCCAGGCGGCCGAAGGAAACGCATCCGAAAGCGCGCGATGCGGTGACCGCGTCTTTTTAATCTGATGCCCGATCCAAAAGTCGCTGCTTGATAAGTCGACCGAGACGCCTGGCGTTTGTACTCGGTGCGGTATCAGCGTCCGCGGGTCTCGGCAGCTGCAGAGGAATCACAAAAATCCCCTGGTGCACGTTCGTGTCTCCCCAGTGAGTTAAAGGGGGCCTCTCCGTGTGTGTGTGTCTGTACGTAACGCATCTACGCATTTGTATGTACTTGTTTGTGCGTGCATACATTTTATAATGACTTGCACTGTACATATATTGTTGGTGTATCCTTGATTAGTTGAGCTGATAACATTTGCGAAAAAGGTAAACGCATCGTCGTCGCCAAGGTTCTTCTTCATCACCAAAGGCCATCCTGGTCAATTGCAATTCGTGGCAAGTTGTGTTGGCGATTCCAAAGGCATATTGATGGACATTGTAATCAGCACTTCAACAACCAACGTATTTATTGCATGCTCTTTTTAAGAGGTTAAAATCATTTTCAGGAATATTGTTTGTGTGTGCGTGCGTGCGTTGTGGGGAGCGGCGGCGTGGCGGTTAGTGCACCGGCGCTACGAACCCGGAGACCTGAGCTCGATTCCCGGCCATGGATAACATCGGTGAAGAGAAGTGTCGTTTTTATCTGTCCTGGTTTTTTCCCACGATCATCGTTTTGTTGACGAACCTGTCCTGGGATATCTGCCAGTCCTCCCAGGACAGTCATAGTCCTGTTGCGTTGCGATGCTTCCTAAAGCAGTGCATTCACGTGAAGTTCTCCCCTCTTCCGCTATTGCGAGATATATTCTCGATCTTCCCATGATCCACCTGGCATCTTTGAGCACTTAAAAGGTGGCAACCCTTGTGGCGAATGATATATGAACTGGTCCCAGGCCTCCCCTAGGTCGAGTCAGCCTTAAAGGAGTACCTGGTGCAATGTGCAAACATCAGCACTGGAGAGGTCAAGGTGGACGGGTGGTGCTGTCCAAATCACCCCCTCGTGCGTTGTGCCGCCCTTAATAGGCGCTCGCTAGCAGCACTTACCCCACCGGTCTGCTAAAGGGTACATGGGGGATCTTTGTCTTTTGTGTTGGGGAAAATGTGGGTTGGTGGCGTCGCAGTGGTTCGTATACCATGCCACCATCTCGGCAACCCAGGTGCAATTCCGAGTCTCTCACAAGATCTGCGGGAATAACAGTCTGAACATCTGAACGAACTCTTGGCCTTCCCAAGATCGACGAAGCCAAGACTCGCTCCCTGGTGTGATGTCTTCTTTGGCAGCGGGGAGACATGGTAGACCGACGTGCATGCTCGAGACACCTTTTGCACTGGCAAAACCAAGCCGAGCCAGCGTGGGGCCATGACGGCACGAGTGGTTGGCTATTTGCCGAGCCGAGCTGGAACCAGACCGTAATACGCTGGCCTCGCAAAGACATCTGATGCTGGCTCAGAGCCAAGCTGGGCCGGGGGGTGGCGCTTAAACGACGAGCCCGTTGCGTGTGACGTCGGTCGGTACTTTGTGAGGACGCGCTGTCTTGGGTTCTGCAGTAGAAAAACAACCAGGCTCTTCTTGAACCGCGCGGGCCCTGGCTCGGCATGGCTCGGTTGTAATGGGTAGTGCTTTCCACGCTGACCCCACTTGTGACCCTGATAGGTGCTAACTAACAGCATTCGTTGCTTCCGTTTGTAGAGAGGGGGTCCTTGTGTTTTTTGCCGGGACAGAAGTGTGGTGTGTCGGTTGAGCGGTGTTGCCACTCACGAATGGTGCTCAATGAGCCATGGCATGGTGGCTGAGCAGGCCTGCGAGCTGACACTGGACGGACGGTTCAACTAGAATTTGTGAGACTCCCGTGGCAGTATAGCAAGTGGGTTCACGAACCCGTCTGTACGGACCTTATGGGCGTTATCCCCTCATATGAGTGGTGGGTTTTCTCCGGGTTACTTCCACACAACGCAAAAAGGAATTGGCCAAACATCCCAATGCGACAGGACCCTCTTGAAAGCGAGTCTTGTAGCTCAGTGGGGCTTTACAAAAAAATATTTAGTGCAATTGCAAGGTGTTTCGATTTAGGTTGTGTGCCGCTGTTGATTCTGCCGTATGTAGGTGAAACAGTGAGAGAAGCACATGTGGTGTGTGTATGTGTGCGCCGTGCCGGCCTTCATAGGTGCTCGCTAACGGCACTTGCCCCAACGGTCTGTTAAGGCTGCATGGGGGACCTGTGTCTTTGTCAGTGGCTTAGCTATCAGGTGGCAGGCGGTGCGACCGCCCCGGTGACCAGGGGCCTGGTCACCGGCTAACAAAGTGGTGGGGGGGTTGCTGGTGGGGACTACAGATGGCGGTTGGCTGCTGGAAGCTCTGGCGTAGGCAATCGTACAAATCCTGGAGGTGCACCGGGCTGGCTTGCGGCTGAACTGAATCCTGTGCTGCTCCTCTCGGCAGCGTGCGCTCACGCGGGAGTCGCCCGTCGCGCATGTCAGTGCACTGCTGGACAATGGCCTCTCTGTGGTATCTGGATTGTGGCCGTTATTTGACCATACTTGACCATACTTGACCATACTTGACCATTCTTCACCAGTCCTCCGCACCTCCAATTAGCACGGTTGGCTACGTATGGTAGAGGCCGACCGAAACTGAATTTATGATTATGCCGAAAGAGGCCATTTGGCAACTTTCGACGCCGAAACCGAAACCGAATTTCGGTCGGCCTCTAACGTACGGTGCGAAAAAGGTCAACGTCCGTACATACACACTGGTCAGCGCGGGTTTGGTGAAAGCGAACAGTATAAGTGCAGTACAGCGGTCCATTTTTCAGCACTCTGCTGCTACCCACCACGTCGCACCGTCTGCACAGCGGTCATTCATTCGAGAGGCAAGCAGGCCCCAGGCTGCTTAGCTTTCGAGAAGTGACGGAATTGGGCGCGTCCCATGCGGTTTGGCCACAGGCCGGCCCCAGCCACGTCTCAACACTGAAGCTGGCCTGCAACGCAGTCTCCTCCGCCTCTCCCTGTTGTAAATGTAAGTTGACGCCTGATGTCAACGTTACATTTCCATTGCTCGTGGCTGATGGGATGTCTAAAACACTTTGGAAGGTCAGATATGTGAAGGAGGCGAATCGCTTTGTTATTTATTTTCTCCACAACAACGTGGATGATTAATCTGTGTCTTGCTGAATGTTGTGTCGAACTAGGACCCATCGCTAACAGGAGGGGGGGGGGGGGTCCTTGCCTATAAACGACCAGCAGTTTACCAGCACTGGTTCAAACAAGCCTCATTCTGCTGCTGCTGAGACACTGGCTGTCACAACTGGTCCAGACTTTTACTTGCGTTGAAGTGATGCACTCCCAGAAGGCCTTGCGGTTGATGGGATGTGTATGCGGTATATAGTAAGACTTGTAGTATATTTCGTGTGGACAGACAGATTGTGTGAAGGAGGCGATTGTCTCTTGTTTATTTATTTAGTTTGTTTATTTCTTGGCGATCCGGTTGACGAGGCCCTTTCACACGAGATACCGCTCGTGTGAAAGGGCCTCGCTGTCCGCCCGCAACCCACTTGCACTATTCCATGTGTCTCTTATTTATTCTGCGTTCTGCGTTGAGTTTTTCGTTCATTTGCAGCCCTGTGATCTGTGTGTTGTCTGTCCGTGCGCACGGACGGATCGCCGTGCAACGGCCAAGCACCATTGCGTCCCCTCCGTGCGGAGAAACACTATCACGTGTGTCCATTTGACCCATACGTCACTGTGCTGGTCAGTGGCGGGTTTGGCGAACGTGGGGGAGTGTAGACCTGGAGGGAATATGAGTACAGTACAACGATGGAATTCTTCAATACTGAACCTCTGCCGACCGCTGCGTCGCAGAGCCCCACAGTCGCCGATCGCAGCCTGGCGTGCGTGCGTGGGTGGGTGCGTGCGTGGGTGCGTGCGTGCGTGGGTGCGTGGGTGGGTGCGTGGGTGGGTGCGTGCGTGGGTGGGTGCATGCGTGGTAGTCACCCACAAAAGCACTACCCGCGCTCCTTCCGATTAACCAAGCCCCGATGAGATCGAGAGCATCCCCCGGTGATCTGGTCGCAGGCACTTTGTTTAAACGGAGCGACAGGGGCTTTCACTTCCGCGTGACTGCACTTGCCCGCGATGAGCTCGGCCTAAGCACTCCGTTGTAAGCTTGTACACTACAGCTGCCTCTTGTCTCGCCCAAAGAAGCAATGTGGAATTTATTTCACGGTCACATTTCCAGCGTTTGGCACTTCATGCATGAGTCTTTGCAAAACCAAAAAGAAATCCATGCATTTTCAGTGGACATGTTGCATTTCTATCCGGTTAATGGTCTTTACGTGCTTCAAAGTGATCATCGTCATCATCATGTCACTGTCTTTCCACTGCTGGATGAAGTCCTCTCCAAGCTATCTCGCGGTCAACCGATCGGTCTAGAAACTGAAATTGCAGGTAACCATTCCGTTAAATCTTGACTTAAAGCTTTCATGACTGCAGGAATTCATATTCTTTGGGTCTTTCTGTTAAGTCACCTAGATAGGTTCAAAGAAAATAACAAAAAACTACGTTATTTTCTTTGAACCTATCTATGTGACTTTACCGAAAGACCCAAAGAATATGACCATTCCAGTCTCTTGTCTGGCAATGCGTTGGGATCTAAATGCCAATGTCGAGGTATGCTTGGCACGAGAGGACTTCGTCACAGCTGACTGGGGACCGTGGTTGAGACTGCGTGACGATTGGGGAGGGGGGGGGGGGTACAAAACCATTGGTGTGGGTTGTCAAAGATAAATGCCAAACGTTGCTATTGTTGTCGTTTCCCTGCACCTCTGCTTAGCACGGTTGGCTACGTGAGGTGCAAAAGAAGTTCAACAACATGCTTCTTGCAGGCAAATTATTCATCTGTCTTGGTCAGTGTGGTGTTAGTCCGTACATTATGTCGTGCGGACTAACAGCACAACCATACTGATCGTACACGTGCGGCATTGTTTCATATTTCTGTAATGCGACCAAAACTGAAAGCGTGGAGGAGATGTAAGCTTGGAATTACGTTACAAGGAGGAACACATGGACGAGAGAGAACATGGGCAGGTTGGAGACGTCGCATTAGCTGTTTAGAAAATTGAGCGGGCCTAGGCACAGACGCGTCATCAGCACGGACGATGTTCCGGTGGTCGAAAACAACCAAGGATTGGCAACCAAGGAGAGAGAACGCATCAGAGCAGACGTCCGTTGCGGAGATGGAGCGATGAGATTTCCCCGTGTGTGCAGGTGCCAGCTGGATTTTATTTTTACACCGCGAGACCGCGGCAGACAGGGGAAGGCTTGGGGAGACGATCGTCTAGCAGTGGAGAAATCGTCGCCGATCGAGATGACGACGTGACGTTCGTGGTGTGCAGGGTTCACTCGTGCCACACACGCGCCTAACGATGACGCCTTTAATTGCCACGCCGCCACCCGAGCAACGCACGATCGACAGTTGTGGCCTCTGAGCGGCGTGCGCGGACACTCCGTCATCGTTCGGACGCTGCGCCGTTTGGATTTTTAAAACATTTATTTTATCTGAAATTATAACACTAACGCGTGGAAATCTTAATAGATTTCTGGTTGTGAAGACCTGCTGGGAATCTTGATGAGAACCTGCTGGAAGTTGGAGGTTGTTCTTCAATAAACCGTTGAAAAACAAACATCATCGGGTGATGAGTGAGTACCGTCTACCCGCGTAGGTTTTCGATGGATCTGCCGTGCAGCCCTCCGACGTTGGACCCCCACGTGTTGTTCTTCACGATGCCCAACGTTTCGCTCCACGTGCTGTTCCTGAAGAAGCAACCCGGCATGCGGAGCGAAACGTCCAACTGTTTCCGAACACGCGGTAGCGTCCTCCCGGATCCAGGCGAGGTTCTAGGATGGTGACGGCGCTATCCCAGAAGAGGGATCGGGACGTGAGTGGATGGCGAGAGTGCATTGTTGAGGTCTTGGTTGATGATGGGTGGTAGGTGGTTGTCGTTGGTTGGGAAACGTGTACATTCTCGTGACGTGCGTGTCTACAGAACGTAAGCCACAACGGGAAGCCAGGGGATTGGTGTATCGGTTTCAGTGTTCCAGTTATGATGCCCTTTGCGTTATTCAGTGGTGCATCGCGCACTTTTGTGCACGAGCTCCCGGACCATGCTGGAGCACGCGTGCTTTAGGCCATCTTCAGCGGCAGGCCAGTCATTGCTGTGCCGGATTTGTGCTGGCAACAGTTTTCTACGAGGGTGGTGAGGGCAACGCTTTGTCTGCAGCAGCTATGGCCAACTCGAAATCCGGCTTCTTTTAGGGAGGCAGTTGGGGGGGGGGGGATTCTGGAAAACATGGTGCACCTTCTGTCAGCATGGAGGTGGAGGACCTGAGGGATGTTGGCCTCTAGCTGGAGGGCGATGCTTGCGGCTTTCTGGGTTTCAGAATGGCGGTGACTTTGGCTTGCTTCCATGTTTTGGGGATTTTGCTCATCCTGTCTATGACCAGTGAAGAGGTTTGTAAGCCATTGTTGTCCATCTAGTCCCAGTTTATTTCGAAACGCGGGACAAAGGCCAGCGTATCCCATACACTACAACAACAGTGTACAGCCGTGCTCTTCTGTGTGTTGCGATAAATAGCTCGAGGTGATGGCGAGTTGTTTCCGGTCAGCTTTTTTGGTGAGCTTGGTGCTGAATGAGGGTTGAAGACTTTATAACATTGTCACGTTGCTACTTTAAGCCGCGGTTAGCTGCCCGACCAGTGACCACATTAGCCCCACAAATAACTTACAACAAAAACCTGGTGATTGAATGCCCGGAACTCCGTGTATCAACAAAAAGCCTAAAATAAAGACAGTTTAATAATCTCGTGTGCATTACAGAAAGTGGGCTTCGGCAGGTCGCGTTGATAGAAGAGGATGATGAAATCGATGGTTAGGAATAATAACGGAGTGGCAGCCAAGAAATGGAATATGTGTGAGAGCACACTCCAAGGAGATTGAGTAATTAGATGAGTTCAGGTGCAGGATAGATTGCGCTATTGCGATGATCGTGAGAGGTGGCGGCAGCTTGGGGAGGCCTTCATCCAGCAGTGGATTGACCCGGGGCTGGTGAAGATGACCGATGTATGATGGTGAAGCCAATCGGAGCGCTCTCCATCCCAAAGAAAATGTAATGACCACAAAATGATCTGCGTCAAAGAATAAGGTCCACCAAACCTGCACAACATGTAAAGTTTTAACGCTGTGGGCTCACACGAAATTGATTTTCCAAGACGGAGGTACTCTGCAAACCTACCAGCTACCTTCAGAGATTTGTTCATGAAGCCATCCAGATAGAAAACACAGACACAATTTCAACCGAGAAGATGAGTACAAACTGAGCAATCATTGGAAGGACGTTATTAACCAGGTAACGCCTTAACTAACTGTGATGTTTCCATCCTACCTGCCTATGCCAGCTGTTATTTCCGACTCTCTGTGTCTCTCTCTCTATGCCTCTCTCTTAGATTTCTCATGCTCACGTCCTTTGCATTGCACTCTCATGCCTTTGGATTGCACTCTCATGCTCACATGTCCTTTGGATTGTACTCTCATGCCTTTGGATTGCACCACGCTTCGTTCTTACATTAACATGCTAATCTCTCACGCTAACACAGCCACTTCCGTGCCCCCGTCGAGGAGGCCGCTCTCCGTTCTTACATTAACATGCTAATTTCTCACATTAACATCACTAGCCCCTCCTACTTCTTTATGACCGTTGCGCTACACCCATTTCAAACCTTTTAAAACAGTCTGCCTCGGCAGCGGATCATGCTTTCCCACCTGATGACCGACACTGGTGTTGCGCCCGAAACGTGATTTATTTTATTTTATACCTACGTGACTTTACCGAAAGAACCAAAGAGTATGTAAAGTCTGTGAACGCAGTGAGGCTAATTCTAACATTAATCTGTAAATGATTAGAAACCCCACAAAAGCAGGAAAACCGTGCAGGCTGGAAAACCATAAACACAGCAACGTGTACAGAAAACACTCGGCCCTTGTGTATGATGCAAAAACAATCAACAGTTCCTGAGAAAATGCGTTGTGCTCCCCTTGTCTTAGGTGACCGAAATATATTTGAGCAAATGTGACTCACTGACAGGGAGTAGCGAAACAGAGATAACTGTGAAAACGAGCTTTATAGTTCTCGGCTCCTACAGTATAAATACATATTCTGGACTATAGTCACCAACTGGCAACTCTGCATATATGGTTGCTTTCAATTACTTGCATAACTGGGGACAACATTTTTCAAGCAGTGAGCATTGGTGGCTATTGATGAGTCCTAACAAGGCCGAAACCACTCTTCAATGTGCATCTCTGTCTCGCTGCTGCCTGTCAGTCACATCGGCTCCAATCTATTGTGGTGGTGACCTGAGACAAGAGAAGCCACAATCTTCATTTTGGGCACTTTTCGTGCTTTTTGCACAATACACAAAGGCGAAATGCTTTGTGTCCCGCGTTTCTGTGTCTGTTCACATGCCCAGGGGGGTGGGCACCACTGCGTAACCTCTAAAAAGGAGAAAAACAAGCCTAACGTGTTCCACAAACCCAGCCCTCGTGATAGACCGTAGGAATCTTCCGGATCGCTGTGGGTATTTGTTAACTCAGCACGCCCTGGCGTTTAACCCCTCCGAGGTGGTGGGGCAGGGGCGACTGGAAGGAAGCGGCACCCATCTACTGAGCAAAGTGTGAAGTGAGCATCTTGAACGCGGTTGGGATGGGTCGCTCCCCAGGTTCACTTGGAATAACGGTGTCCCAGAATCATCCGAGAGCTGCCTGTTGAACCAAGCAGATCTTCCTGGAACTGTGACAATGTTGAAGCCACCGACAAAACTATTGAGAGTGCAGATGCTGACTGAAACCAGAGTTTAAGGTTTTGGGTCGGGATCCGTCGGGACTTCTCTCCAAACCACTCGTGAAGCCGCCCAGCTCAACCGAGCTGTGCCACTTCTCAGCATAGCACGACCGAAATTGAGGAACCACCGACATGTGCCCATAAAAAAAACACTTTAAATAAAACAAAAAAACAAGTCACCCAACCACGCATCTTACAGCCTCAGACCGCTGAGCTCTGATGCAGAAGCTAGGTAAGATGTGACTAAGGTAAAACAGGAAATACCTTTGGAAATACCATCGGAAATATACATGTTTTTTAGACAGGAACTTGAAGATCCCAACCTGACTGGACGACCTGAGAGCCTTTGGAAGAGAGTTCCACAATCCGGTTGCCACAGAAGCGAAGGCCCAGTCACCCATGGACTCGAGTTTCGTTCTGGGGATGCAGAGTATATCTAAGGGGCGCCACGTTGGCGAGATATTAACGACCTTGCCTGGTATATAGGAGGTGGTGGGTTCGATCCCGACCCCTGTATATTTGGAGTTTGCTTGTCTCTCGCCATGGCCACGTGGATTTTTCCCCATGTCCTCCGATGTTTTCCTGCACATTTAGAATCAAAATGTGTTTTAGAGTTTTGTGCTACTATAAATTTCCATATGGTAAGCCACTTCGTTGAGCTATCATTTGTGGCCAGGTCTGTTCTGAAAAAGAGCTATATGGCTCTGGGCCTTACTTGTTCAAATACAAATGGTTCAGTCAAGTCCGCTGACCTTAGAGTTTTTGTTGGAACGTAGGGGTGCAGCAACACCCGTATATACGGAGGAGCGAGATTATTCAGAGCCTTGAATGTAAGGAGGAGGACCTTGAATTGAACACAGAATTTAACCGGCAGCGAGTGAAATGATGCAAGCAGAGGGGCGATATGTTCTCCACGAGGAGTTCGGTGCAGGACTCTCGCGCAGCTGCATTGTGAACAACCTCGAGTCTACGAAGCACGTTGCTGGAGGTTCCAGAGAGCAAGGGATTGTAGTCGTCGATGCGCGAGGAAATAAAAAACTATTTCTCCGCTTGAGAGGCTAAGAGGATGGGATATAATCGGGCAATTTTCCGTAAATAATAAAATAAAAAGGGACCTTGACGATCTTCTTGGTTCTTTCGGTAAAGTCACGTAGAAGGGAAGTAATAAAATAATATAATATTATTACATAATTTTATTTTTATAAAAAAATATAATTTTATTACTTCCCTTCTACGTGACTTTACCGAAAGAACCAAGAAGATGAATCCCTGCAGTCACGAAAGCTTTAAATTGGACCTTGACGAGTTTATTGATGTGTGCTTTGAATGATGGATCAAGGAACACAGAGATTCTATCAGCATAACCTCCGTCTTATCCCCATTCAGCTGGAGGTGCTGCATCCAAAGCTTTCATGAGTGAAAGTGATGATGAGAGAACAGAAGATTTGATTTGTAATGTGTAAATTGAATATCGTCATCATAAGTGATAATTGAAACCTAATGACGAACAGTGGTACCGAACGGAGTTGTTAGAATACAGAAAAGTGGACCCTTAAATCTTGACTTAAAGCTTTTGTATGTAGACACTGCCTCACCAATACATACTTCACCTGGAATGGAACATTTTACAAACAAGTTGAAGGCACCCCAATGGGTTCTCCCTTATTTCCAGTTGTAGCCAATTATTTCATGGAAAATTTTGAAACAGGCGCCATCCAGGCATCCACTCTACGTCCGTCCTTGTGGAAGAGGTACGTAGATGACACGTTTGTCATCTGGCCACATGGCCGTCCAGCTCTAAACCAATTCCTCAAACACATGAATTCCATACACCCAGCCATCAAATTCACCATGGAGGTGAAAAAGGATGGCAAGCTACCATTTTTGGATCTAATCGAAAAGAGACCAGATGGCTCAACGGGACACTGTCTACAGGAAATGCCTCCATAAAACCTGACTCCCACCACCATCCATCCCAGAAGAATTCCCTCGTCAAAGCTCTACACCATAGAGCTCGATGCATCTCCGACCATCATCACCTAGCCAGTGAACTGAAACATGTGCACCAACTCTCAAGATGAATGTATATTCGGACCACACAATCCGTAAAGCTACCACCCCAACCGTTGGGAAAGAACCATCTGAGAACCCAATCAAAACCATCACCTTGCCATACATAGCAGGGGTCACCAAAACGATTTAAAAAATCTTGAACACAAGATCCAGGCTTAATTTAACACAGTACATAAAATTAGTTTTCTGATCCCAATTGTGAATGATAGGATCCCTGATATGCAATACCCTGGCGTCTACAAACCAAGCTGTGTCTACGGCAGTAGTTACATTGAGAAAACTAAGTGACATGTCTCGGACCGTGT